TACTATCAGCCATGATCATATTGATACGAAGAGGAGTATTAATAATAGTGCGACTGCTAATGTTCATACTAATACTGGGATCTTTCCCTTTCCTATCGGCCCATGACTTAAGCAGTTTTTAGCCCAAAAGGTAGTTCTTGGGGTGAGCATATATACATATAAGGGGTGTGGACTATGGCTCTTGTAGCTGCCCTTTGCTACACGTCCAAATCACAGGCCGGGACCGACACTGATGATGCTGAAGAGACGGACACCTTAGGTGGACCCCCACCCGGTAATAGTGACTGCAGGGGGTTTTGGGTTTAGGGTAATCATATTGGGGTCCCTGTATATTCCTGTTATATCACTATTACAGGGTGGGGGGCGCCCTCCTAACAGACACCTCGATCACGCAGCTTCGAAGAATGTTAGACCCTAGAGTAGCGTTTAAAAAACCATATTAGTAATAGTAATAAGAGTAAGAGAAATATTAATACCAGCGTTAATGGTTCTTAGATTCTTTTCGCATGTCTGATCGAAGGTTGTGCCAGGACACACGACCGGAAGGTCCAGGAGGTGGCTGCGACGAACCTAAGGCCGCAGGCTTCTGATTGCCTTAAAGCTAATACAGATATTATGGCCCCTTTTGGCAATATATCATATTACGGCCCCTAATATTTAGGGTACCAAAATGGGACCCGAATTTTCGGAACTACCCATTTGGCTTTGTGGAAAGCAAATGGAAACTACTACACATAAGGTTATGGAGGGATTAATCCCGTGTTGGCCTAGGGATACATACGAGACTGTAAAAGAAAGCGGAAGCTGCCATAGTATTAAGGCTTCAAGACTATATGGGGCTTCAACTTTGCATGTACAACCAAAGCTTCCAGCGGGTGGTCTTGGGCTCCTTTCGGAAAATGTTTCTGACCTGGGCTGACAAGGTCCACACCGAGCCTTGCCTTCAACAGTACATTAGATGGAGATTGTATTTCAAGGGCTCGGGTATAGCAAGTAATTCTAGTACTCCACGCGCTGCATGTGGCCACAAGGCCACCGCCCAGCCGAAAGACTTCATCGAGCGAAGCAGCCACTCCGACCTGGAGCAGTTTGCACCCGCATGAGTCACGTGTTCCTACATGGAGCCACAAGCAGCATAAGCAGCAAAGAGGGCTGAGCTGCGCGCTGGTCCAAATTATGATTTATGGCATCTGCATCGGCCTGTCGCTAGGCCCAACATATTCTGGAAATGAGTGGTGGCTTCCAATGCGCGTGATCATGCTCTTCAGAGGTCAGCCTTGATACGGTGCAGCTGCTCCGTCTGTTCCTCGAGCCAAAATGAACTTAGCGAGAGTCAATGCCGATGCTATCACCACAGCTAAGAGCCGTGCGTTGAGCGTGCCTAAGACTCCTGCCGTTCCCCCAACCACCCAAGGCCAGCCCCTGCCTACGAACTGCAACACCCTCTGAAGCTTGGCCAAACAGGTCGGGCAGGCGAGTTGACGTGTCATCAGCCTCTGCCAGAGATCTGACCTGCTCCACACGCAACACGAGTCAAAGCCAATGTGTAAGAGGCTGGTTGCCTACCTCGCAGCCTGCTGGTAGTTTAAACGCTCACATTTCCAGCTCAATGATTTTTTGAGGTGAGGTTTAGGTTGTTCCCCTTCACTTTGTTTGTGTCAAGCCCTCAGTAATCACGAAAACTTCCTTTGACGCCACTACCTCCTCAAGTCAAGTGCATTTCGACCAACCGATGGAGCAGGCGCAACTACCTTCCGGCCCTAGACCTTCGACCTCACCACAGCAAATACACGTAGCGCTCACCCTTCCTTTTCAGAATCTTAGGGCTGGTCGGTGCTGGCCAGCAGCTCGGCTTCAGTACCTTTGCAAGAGGACACTTTTTGCAAGCAAACATGGCTGCAGCGTGCAGCGCGAGTCGAGATGACGTAGACTAGTCGTAGACTGCGCATCAAGCAAGGCTAGATTTAAAAAGCTTTAGGCGCTCCGCAGATGTAGGAATCTTAGCACCTGCATAATTGGCACTGCACGTGCAAGCAAAGGCTAGCGCACATTCACGGCACAGGACTGCGTATGCAGGAGATTTGAGCCACGTCAAGCCCGCTGCGTCCATCTGAAGATTTCAGAGTTGCAGCCCTGTCTCCATAGCTCATGCCTGGTCATCTGACAATGCCAAGTCCATACTCAACTGCAGCACCTGCAAGACAAGCTCAATTAGGGCCTGGCCGCCCTCGTGCAGGTCTGCCGCTTTCGTGGCAATGCTATGAGCCATGCAGCAAAGTTCAGCAAGGAGTGGCACTGTAGCCAAGGGCACACACTGCTGCAAGCCGCAAGCCCTTTCGAGCAGCATCTTGAGCGTATGTTTGACATCGTTGCCGACGGTTGGATGCACGGTATTTACCTACGAAATCCTACACTCTAGACATTCCGCGCGAAGCTTCACGGGGCACTTCTGCGAAGGCCAAGACAGTCAAAGGGACGCCTTGAAGCTCCGCCTGAAGAGGATGGGAGTCCAACCGAGCACGGCTCACCTGCCCTGTCTGCCCTGTATCATCCTGTTAATGCCGGGCCTCGGCAGGATTCCGCTCAAAAAGCCATCTTGCGCCCAAACCAAATCAGAAAGCTGGGAAACGGGATTTGCATCATGGGGTGCATCTCATGGAAGGCTCTTGGTTGGGTCGCTGGAGCAATTGTAGAAGCAATGGACTGTGCCCAGAGCTCAACAGTTCAGATGGTTTCAGTGTAAAGCGGTGGCATCCGACCACTTTGCCTAATTGGAATAAGCAAAACAAGCCTTTGCTCTAGTCATGGGCATGAACTTCTGAAAGCAATCTCAGCGCACTGAAACCTACCAAAGATGTGGGCCATTCAGTTTTGAAACATCTTGCCCTTAAAAACTAGAACTTGTAGCTCTGCCGACTGTTTCACAGAGCACAGGAGATGCGCTGAGTCCAAATTCTTCTGATCCTCTTTCCTGCCGTGGACCGCATTGGATAACCAGCAACTCCTGTGGGCGTTACAAGCATCTGTACAGAGATCTGGTAGGATGAACCTCACAGCAAACGTGCGCTTAAACCTCAACAAGCCACGGGGCTTTGTAGCCCGGCTTCCATGCTGAGCCAATGAAAGCTTAGTGCCACAGACTCCTGTGCAACAGTAGGTGATGCCTCAGGCTCTGTTTCAACAGCCTTCGGACCTGGGGCTCTGCCAGGTGTCACCACCTTTTGCTTGAAGAAGTCATGCACTTGGCTGATGACCCTTCTTTATCCTTATTCCGAGGACTACAACACACTGCATGCCTATCTTGCCAAGGTACCAGGAATGAAGAATCAATAAGCTGAGCTCCCTTCAACAAACGCTTCACGGACTCAGGGGCTCAGACGCCATTGTCTGGCAGGCAAGCGTTTGTAAGCAATGCTGCTTGCGCATCCTTATTCCAGCTCTGCTTTGGCCCAGTCACTGCAGAACACGACCGTGTCAAAAACTCAACTTGACTGAACATCCGCCACTGAAAAAGCTGCATGGTACTCTGAAGAACTTCAATTGGAGTACATCGGGGGGTCCACAAACAGGGTCGGCCACATAGGGCCCAAAATACCATGATCCTCATTACGTAACTCTTATCTCGAAAAGGGATTTCGATTTTTTCTCGAAACCGCCACATTGCTTCTGGTTGCCGGCCTGGCTCAGCTCGCCGAAATACGCACGCCACTCCTTCTTCAGCGCACGCCTGTTATGATGGGCTTCTCGCGATTAATTAAAAAAAAGGGGTAGATATCATTAGGGCGTGCATGGAGATTCCAATTTAATGACACATCTTTTGGTCTTTCATATCCCAGCACCTAAGCTCTGCCTGCATGCATCGGGTTGGCTCGGGTCGTTCAACTTCACTTTGAGCCACGCCCTGAGCTGAACAGAAGGGTAGCGCAGTATGCAAAAGCTAATATGCCAGCTCTGAGCTGTTGGCCGGTAGCGCCCGCGAGCATTGAAGTATCGCCGAAACAAATTCACCTTCGAAACTAGCCCTTGTGGATTTATGGAGGCTGAGGTTTGGGTGGACAAGGCCTTCAAGACGAAGTTCACCACAGTCAGCACAAGCACAAGCCATGTCATGCATCGGCACCACAGCCTGAGCCACACAGCAACCTCCTTCACAAGGACTCAAAGACAGCGGCCGAGGTTACCACCAGCGTTCCCGGTCTTCGGGAATGGAGAAGCAAAAGAGGCCTCCGACCACAGGTGCACATGAGAAAACAACGTGGTGCGTGAAGCCATGCAGGGTGCAGCTAGTTTGAAGGCTTACACCACCGGCACCCCTGTCACGTTGATACAAGGCATGCACCTATCTTGGCGCGCAATGTCCAACCTTGTTTCCAGGCGTGTGGAAGTTTCATGGGTCAAACTAGCATCGCGCACACCATGCTGGCTTTTGCTACTGTAGTACAGTAGCGGCTTCACATCTCAAAGCAGTGCATGGACTGGGCATATCCGGGCACGCTGCAGAGGCTGGCAGTCAGGACAACATCCTCAGTGCAGCTGCGCGACTCCAGATGCCACTTCTTTACGGTTCTGCAGGCGCATTTCCACAAGTCCACGCTGGACATTTGAAAAGTCAAACCTGGCAAGCTGGAAGAGGCTGGCAGAACAGTAGGCCGGCGGCTGCAAGCAGAACTGGAACTTGAGACCTTACAGCGCGGGCAAGGCTCCTAACCAAATCGTGTTCCAGCGTTCTCCTAAAACTGCTGCAAGGCTTGGACCTGTCTCCACAGCACAACACTGAGGACAACACACTATACCATGCAGGCTCTCAGTAATGTACATGTCCTGCAGCAACTGCTTTTTTGGTCCATGCTCCACTGTCCAAGGACAGGCCGTGCCCGGCAAATACATGCGTATGTCTTGCTGATGTCCTTCGTGGGGAAACCCAGGATGAATGAACGCGGCCCATACCTCATCAGCTTCAAGGGGATTCCGTTAGCTTTACGCACACCCGTTTGAACATCTGGGCCATTTGCAGCTTCCCTCCGAAAGAGGTGAACGGGTGGCACCTCCTGGCAAAAGGCTCACGCTCGATCACTCACAAAGGATTATCCGCAAGCATGGTAGAACTATACCATAATATACAATGTAATCTATACTGTGAGATGCTGGGATGCCAACTTGTCAGGGTGGAGGAGGGACACGACATCGCGGACAATCCTTCACGACAGGAAATGTCACACTTGTGGTGTCTGGGACCTGGCGGAGAGGAAACGCATTTCACTTGATGTACAGGGCGTCCTGGGGATCAAAAACATCTCCACCATGGTGAGGCTGAGCATCAAGTCCAGCCTGTCCAGCACAGCCGAATATCTCACTCCAGCACTTTGCTTTGGAGACTGGTGCTCACACCATCTTACACCTGTGCTCCCCCTCTCCAAATCCTGTAATTATATGGCACAGTCAGTTTTACCAACATCCACTCATGCATCTCTTGCTGTTATCCCGCAAGCTTGCCAAGCCCATTGGACTGGATCATGCCTGCAACATGTCAATCCCGGCTGCTACAAGCCTACAAGTAACGCGTGCAGACAACAGCGCCTCCCAAAAAAGCCAACCTTGGTAGCACTAGCCCAATCTCGTTCAGCCATGCTGGAGGCTGATACCCGCTGATCGAAACTGTGCAAGGAAAGCAGCAGTGGCAAGAAGGGCCGAAGCACAAGATTCTAAAAATATTTGCTGTCATCACACCTGATGCTGAGCTGACGGCATTCGTCACATATTCACCCTCTCAAGGCTGCAACCGAAGCAGTCTCTCTGTCCCACTGTAACCTATAGCTGTAGAAGAAGTTCCTGCCTTATCGTGCCAGTCCAGAATTAAAGCTCTTTGCGCGCGCCGATGGGCAATGTACACCTCCAGCAGACAAGCTCGTGTACTTGCTCACAGGTGACATGCACATTCCGCATGGTGGCAAACTCAGATCCCTAGGCTCAACACACAGCACACGGGACAAGTTCATAACCTGTCTGAGCTAGAAGCCCACAGGCACCGCGAGATTATGAACACGCCCAGTATGTAGGTATCGAAGCGGCTTGCCAGGGCCTTGACGGGAAACACCTTTCAGGCTTCCTGAGGTGGTGCGATGGAATCGGGCGAGCCTTCGTGGAGACGATTTCTGACAGCAGATTGAGCATCGCGATGTTGTAGAACCTGGGAATCCGGCAGCAAGTTGACGGGCTCATCTGAACCAGGAAAACAGAATTAATGAAACATGTGCGGCAGCATCGTGAAGCTGTCCCGTCAAGCTCCCTGCGCTGTGCATGACGACCGGGCGAGAACCTCACAAAGCCTGTGCAGCAGACCAAGGCAAAGGACAAACATCCTCACTGGCTCAGCTGCACTAGTCAAAATGGGCAGGAATGGTGCTATCCGGAGGGGCAGGCTTCATAGCAAAGCTGCTCGTGGTCACCAAGCGGCCATACCTGGGCTTGCTTGACTCTGTCAGCTTCCAGAAATTTCTTTGACCTCCCAGGCTCTGGCTGCCAAAAGGCGGCTTTTGGCTTCCAACTTAGGAGCGGACATCCACTGCTCATCGCTCTCCACGTTCAGGTGCGAAGACTCATCATCAGCCTTGTTACGTCTCTTAACAGAGAATTCCATGCCACAGCAGCACGTTCTCCTCTTAGCGCGAGGCCGCACCAGGACCGTTGTTTGGTGGCTCTTCCTTGTGATCCACGCGAATTTGAGGTTTCTCAGCACAAGGGCACTCTCTGGAAACCCGGAGAAAGAGAACCACTGGAGACCCGAATTGACTGCAAATTCCTGTGTAAGCCTACGGCTTTTGAGGCCTCATACTTGTGTACATGACAAGACATTGGGCGGATCCGAATGACAAGCCAGACCCAGATGGACATATCTGAGATGCGCGCGTAACGAATAACACCACTCGATGTGTACCAGAATTCGTAGCAAACCTTGAACTGCACAGTTGGACCAAGTACTTGGCCTTCAGACTCTTACTTCACGGTAGTTGACAAAGTACAGCAAAAGGCGACCAGACTCAAAGATTTTTTTATCCGGCAACGCTGCAATTTGTAAATGAAGGGCACTTGCCAGTGAAACCGTCAAGGTGCCGAAAATGTGCCTGACATGGCCAGCTTCGAGGACATAGCAGCGCAAAAATACAGCTTCCCTTTACGGGGCTAACCCATCTACCTGTAAAAATGCACTGCCCAAATGGTGTTCAACGAGAGGGAGGGCTGCAGCAAATGCACTTGGCGCGCATCAGCACAAGTGCTGTGTCCCAGGCTATGTGAGTGATGTCAAAACGCTTTGCGAATGTCAGGGGGCGCTCTCCGCTCCTGCCTTCAGCATCCGCATCAGCAACTACCCATAGAGCTCCATGGGTGCAAGACCAGACTCACATGTCTGCTGCACAATGCCCGCTTAAAGTCCGGGGCTGCGCCAAAGAATTGAGCCACAACATTTGCGCCAACGGCACAGCTGTACATCTCATAAGACAGATCCAAGCGACAGATGGCATTGATCTATCAACGGTGAAACTCGTCACTGCCTCGAACACCCAGCAGATTGTAGTTAGTTGGCTATGGCTTGCCTTTTTGCCAAGACCTAGAGGCGGTAGCGTGTGTCAGATAGGCGATTTTGGGGTGCAGCGCAGAAATTACAACGTCCCTGCAGTGGCAGCAGAAAGTCCCGGCAGGGAGCCGTGAGAGCATGCAAAGTATTTGCCTTTGCACTTATCTAACTAGCATCTTTCTCAGGTTCCATCCGATGAAAATACCGCTCATCCAGGAAGCGGCTGCAATCATGCACACCTGATAACCATCATGCAAGAATAAGGGTTTGATCAAGGAGAAACCAAGGAGAATGCCCACACAAATGCAGCATCGGCACAGCTTCAGTGGACAACCCTACACCTATAGGCCTCATGATGGGTGTTTGGCTGCCAAGCATTTCCTTGCTTGCGTCTTACCTAGTGATGGGACTCTTTTCAGCCCAGCCGGATACTGACGAACGTCAAGTGGGCTGAATGCTGGGGCGAGTAGGTTGGGCTCTGTTTCATCTGAGCAGCACATCGTTGACTTTAATAGACTTCTTCACACAAACATACTTGCTGGCTGATACATAAGGTACCATCAGCTGTTGCGCTTCGGGCTAGAGCTATGGTGTACGCCGGCCATCAACCTACCGCACAGCAAATCTCGCATAACATGGCAACCACAAGAACCTGCCTAAAATCCTGGCCAGCATTCATAGCCAGTGGTTGTGACTCGTCCACTTACTTACATCTATAGGACTCTTAGGTAAGCTCCCGGCCATCTTGATGGTTTTGTCATCCCAGTGCAGCGGGCAGAGCCGGTAAAGCAAGGAATCGTCAAACGTGTTCTTTTTCTGAACGCTTGCCTTAGTAAGATGCAGCTAGCAGCTATTTAGCGTCCCGGCAGAGGCAGCTTCATGCAGCGTCAAAGCCAGGCCAGGGAGCTACCAGGCTCTTCCCTGCCATGAACGCTCCGCCGGAGCCAGAGCCAGCAGCTGGGGCCGGCTGTGCCTTCGCCGCGGGCTTAACCCCCATGATCGCGGCCATGGGGCAGGTGCCTTATGCTAGCTGTGAAGCAAGTGAAGGGTGCATGACTGAGGTTAGGGCAGTTGGACATCCGAGCTGCCCTGCTTGCCGGAGATCGGGCAGCGCTCGCCCTCTCCATGCGCCTCCGCCTTGGCCGCAGGTGCCTCCTCCTTTCCATTCAAACGCTTTCGCAGGCCCTCCGGCTCGGCATCTGCTGGTGATTCAGCCAGCTTTCCTGCATAGACTTGAAAAAGAAAATCTACGAGCACTTTGCAACTGGCATCACCCGAGCAATTGAAATGCTGCACTTCAATCTGCAGTCACTCCTGCGATGGGATACTTCTCTTTTAGCCGCTGCCGCCACTGATTCAGAGCCTCCTCGTCTTCTGCACAGTCCGGAGACCACCTCTGCAACTGAGCAATGCCTTCTTTGTCAGTGGCCAGTGTGACTGTTGGTTTGGAGTACCCTACGTTTGAAGTTCGCCAGCTCCCATAAAAACCACCTTCCTGCCTCAAATCATCCAGGTGTTCTGGCTCGAGAGACATCGTCGCCAAACACCGAGTTACATCATGACCGGCCAGCAACTAGGCAGGCAAGTGAAATGTGGTCAGAAGGCATCAACCGCATGCAGGTCTGTCTGTGACGCAGCTCAGCTGCTGAGTAGCCGCAGCCTGGTCCATACATCCTTGAAAGACCCCGTTTTTCATGTGTCTCGTGTTCAGCGCTGTGCAACGATTCAGCCAGGCAGCTCGCGGCCGGAGCTGACGTCCAGCAGCTCTCCAGCGAGGCCGATCAGGATGCGCCCCTGGTCCTCGCCTGTAAACTTCCGCAGCTCCTGGTGTAAGGGCCGAAGGCTGAAGGATGCCTTGATGCGAAGCCTTCGTCTGTTGCTAGCCTAAGCCCTGAAGCCTGAGAGCCCCGACTGAGTGGATTTGCTTGGCCGCTGGTTACGGATACGCACAAGACCCCCTGCCACTGCAGGCATCCCCCTCAGCTCCTGAAGGCTCAGCGTCAACTGCTCGTTGCAAGGAGCGGGCGGCTCCACGCCACCTGCTTCCGATGCCTCTTTGGAGCTCTTGTAGCTGACGCCACTGGCTGGGTTCATGTCAAATATCTGCGTCATCATGGCCTCCGTGTCGGCATAGATACGCTTCATGGCCTTCAGCATCTTGTTTCGCGTATCTTGGTCTATCTCCAACTGGTCGAAGGACTTAAGGTATTCCTGCACTCGCGCTGGTTCCTTGCCTGGCTGCACCCCTTCGAATTGATAGAACCTAACCCCTGGGGCGCCATGCGGCACGCACAGCTTTTGCGACACCATCTCTCCCAAGTAAGCACCGCCGCTGAGCACGGCCTTGAGAGCAGCATCGCTAGTCGACACAGACTGTTCAAAAGCAAGCTCCCTAACAGCCCGAGAAGCTTCCAAGATTTCCAGCAGCCGAGCAGCATTGTACTGCAGAAAGTGATGGGCCAGCAGCAAGTGCGGATCATCTGCATCTGCCTCCAAACCTTCATCCAGCGCGCTATGGCCACGTGAGCAGCTGTGACTGTTGAGCAATTTGTGACTGCTGCCCATGCACGGCGTTTTAGAATTTTCTTTGCGAAGATTGAACCGCCTGAAACCAATTCCAGGGAGACTTGGAGCCCTAAAATGGAACCGCGCACCTTCCAGGTAGCGTTTGGCAGAAGCAGAGGCCGAGCAAATCTCTTTTGTCTCCTGTATACCGCGAGACTGACAAAGTCTGGAACTGCCTGGAACTAACGCGCAGCCACAACTAGATATGCTCACTTCTTTCCCTTCTTGAAATACATTGCATGCTATTTGAATGCAAGTCGTCAACATGACAGAGTCCTCACTCCAGCCAGGGCCCATCAGTCGAGCCAAATCTGCCTGAGTGCCCGGTACCAACCTTGCCTGCCAGTTCCTGTCTTCAGTAGCACTTGCAGCACTGTAGAGCCTCAAGCTTCTGTGTGCGAGCGAGCGCATCGTCATGGACGGTGCCTCGGCTGGAGCTCATTTTGGCATCTGCAGCCCAGGAAATACCATTGGCTTTCTCGTTGCTATAAGACATGTCGGGACTCCCACTTACAACTCTCTGGAAGATCTAAGCTGCGGATCGGCTCTGACGAGGGGTCGAATTTTGCCTCCATGACCTTGACTTCAGGCAGAAGTGCTTTCGTATTCTCAACACTGCAACCGACAATAGGCAGCACTGCTCCCAGCCTTAAAAACCTGATGGTTCAGCGCGAGCCATGCAGCGTACTGCTTCATGCTGAAGCTCTGCTTGTAGATCATCTGCATCCTGGGCCAAGGAATACGAAGCAAACCACCGGTAATTCGCTGTTCTTTTCGCGGATGAGCATTGATCTCCTAGCATGCCCAAACAACACCGAAAAAGCCGCAAGGCTGCTGAGTTCACACAGGGCAGCCAGGCTACCACGGATGGTCCATGGACTTGTCATGATCCAGCAAGGTCTTCTGGAGGAACCATTTGGAGTGTCCATCTGATCCTGACCAGCAGCCAAGCAAAAGCCATCCCTCATAGCTCGTTGAGTTTCTTTTGACAACCTTGTCATGTTCAAAGAAGTGGCTGAGTCAGCATTACCAAAAACTCCGTTGTAGGCCCATGCTGCTGAAACGTGCTGTGAGCCGCACAAGCTCTTGGCGCGCGGTGCAGCGATCCAGTGATGCATCATTTCTTCGGAAGGCTTTTGCGTTCAAACCTCTGGTGCCTAGCAGACCCAAGCAGGTCACAGCATTGCTTCCCCCGTGCTCTCAAATAGCTACAGCCACACTAACTGCTTGACCCTGGGAGTCACAAAACATCCCTACAGATTGCAACTACCTGAGACAATCTGCGACTGCCAAACACATAGCATCTCAAATTGGAACGGGCTCAGTCTCAAGGCAGATTTCAGCAGTTGCAACATGAGGCAGTGCGAATAGTTAAGCACGGGAAGGTGAATAAGTCTCATACTGGACCTACCGCCAAATTTGTTGCGAAGCAGTGTGCAACCGCTCGCACAAAGGATACGGATGTTGCCTCATCTTGGTGTACATGTGTACATGCCGCATGGACTTCATGTCCCACCTCATTTTAGCTTAGTTTCCGAGACTTTTTTCCACATGCTTCATCATGGCTGCTTAGGTCTCTTCTGAGGTGCGTCTGAGGCAATCTCTCCAATCACTTCAGTGGTAAAGCTTCGGCTAAAGACCACCTTCAACACAGTGCTGCTTGCAGACCGGTATCTGGACAAGACTCCGTACTTGCTCATGACAAGCTCAATTTCTCGGATGTCTCAGCCCCTGTGTGAGCAAAGCCTCAACTTGTCAACAGCTGCAGCAAAGGTGACCCTAGCGCTGATCAAGGATTTTGGTTCTAAAGCTTGACTTTCACATTCCTTCACCTCGCACTAGGCACCTTTGCGGCTGCTCCTGCTTTCAAATCTGTTGTGGTCAGTCATTGCTTCTCTACTGCTGCTGAACTCTTCCAGATCTCTGCCAGGCAGCAAGAAGCCCGAAGGCAGAAACACGCGCTTGAGCAAAAGCTGCGAGAAAAGTCATGCAAGAAGGTTGTTAAGCCATGCCCCCTGCTACAACGAAGATGGCACGTCGGCCACAAGGACAAATGCTGTTCTTAGTTCAAATAATTCAAATCCCGGGGAACATTTCGGACACATGGCGTAGCGCTGAGTCGTAGGTAGGTCCACATGACTCAAGCACAAGCACGACTCCCTAGCAGTTCGGTCACAAGTTTACCACAGCTCAGGCACAATCCAAGTCTGTTCTGGAGACTGGGAATCTCAGTCTCAAAGGGCCTGGCAGAATTTGTCCCCGGACAAACCAGCGAGAGCGCATCCACAACTTTGGATGGAATGGTCGGGAGGCCACCTGTTTAGGCAGCTTTTTTACTTTCATGACGCGGCTAGTTCCACACACCACCAATAGCCTGCTTTGCTGTAAGGCCTGGACTTGCACAAACTATCTTCCGACCAACTTCCTCACCGGGCCTGTTCAGGACACAATAATGAAGAATATCTCAAGTGCCGCAACAGAACAGCTACTTCCTAGGCATGTCTAAGCGCCAACTGTTTTGAGGCCGCGGCCTTGGTGCCAGGATGGAACGCGCCATCTTCAGCGGGATTGAATGCTCCACCCAACTGTCCGACAACGACATCTCACCTTTTTTGACAAGGCTCCCGCCACGTGGGCACTGGAAAGGAAGTAGCAAACGTCAAAACATGGACGGCGTCTAGCAGCTACTAGCAAGGGTGCAGCACCCTTAAGTTTCAACATAGGCGCTCCTTTCTGCAGCCATGTTGCTGTTGCTCGGCCCCAGCATTGACTGCTTCGTCGGGCTTGCAGGCCAGTTTGGACTGGAAGGCATTGTAGCACCTGAGCTGACCCGGCAACAACCAGCCCACCAGCACATGCCTCTGCCGAGGAGCTTAGTGCAGGTCTGCCAGTTACATCTACTGCGTACAGCGCATGGCCTTTCTGAGCCCTGCACTTAGGTGGGTCCAGCGGCCAAGGTAGCCTGTCCTCAAACACGACGCATAAGACGCAAACTTTTCAGCCAACCTAAAGCTTGTTGAATAGCAAACACCTAGCGGCAATAGCGTCTGGCACCCAGCTGCTTGCAGCCTGGAGGCGGGCTCCGCTGCTCCTCCGCGCATCTGCCAAAGAGCAGCCAGATCCATCTCAGAGTCATCGAAGAATGCTTTGGGATGCATTGGGGCTCTACAAGCATCCCATGGCATCTCCAGCACAAGCTTGGCAAACTCCCTCTGCATTTGCTTGGGCCCCCTGCCCCAGCACCCCGGGATCCTCCAAATGTCCTGGCCTTGGCCAAGTTTTCACATGCCAAGCTCCATGCCTAAAGCTGCTTCAGGTCCGGACTTTGCAGCCGACTCGTGAAAGAAGAAATGCTTCTTGAGAAGCTTCTCCCTGACTGTCCTGGCGCCCATGCAGCAAGCTAGTGAGAGCATCCTCTTCCTCCAACTTCAAAGGATTAGGGAGAACAACCTGCTCAGTCTGCAAATCCAAACCCCCCTGACCCTACGGCTTGCAAGAAATTGATTCCGATATATACCTCCTGCAGCTTTGTGCAGTGAGCTCCCACCCGAAAAGGCACGCCACAAGTATCAACTCTTTCAATCTATCTGCAGACCTTCCCCTTCAGCACCCTGCTCAGAAGCGAGGGCACGATTGCTTTGCTTGAGATTGACAACTGATCTCATTGCAATGAAAAAACGCCGCAATACCGACCAAGGCTATCAGCCTTTTCATATTGCGCATGCGCTCATTTTGACTATCCAACACACCACGAAGATGACGACGACAACAACTACAGCTACGTATACTATTACCATATTATTCCCACTACAGTCACGGAATACGCGTGAACAATATGATTACTAGATCAACCGAGCCTATCACTTGATACCTGACTGTCTCTTACTGCTCCCAAACTGAAGGCCTCGCCGCCCGGCTTGCATCCGGGTGTGAAGACACCAGCCAACTGCAGCGCAAAGTTCTATAAAATGGCCTATAGCCTCCTGGCCCCTGGCTAACTGAAGATTCTGGATGGAATTCCACAATAGAGTTTTGTTGCCGGGCCGGAAAAATCCCGGACAATCAACTTTGTTTTGAAACAATTTTGGAGCTCGACAAGGTCTGCTTAAGGCCCATCGGCAATAATAAAGGGGTGGCAATAATATTACATAATATTATTGTCCGGCCGGAAACGTCCCGATTTTAATAGATTGCCTTCTACTTGTCCTTCTAGTATTACGAGCTGCACTACCTGGTCCTACCCATGTCCCCGTGATTCATTATTGCCCCCCCCTTCCATAAGCCCGGATCGCAAAACAAGTTCTGGGGGGATTATTATTGTCATGGTAACATTACACAGACGTACAAGGGCGACACAAGGATCATACAGGAAATGCGCATGGCCTTTCGGCACTCTTAGTCCCTTAAGCTGAGGCAAAGACCTTTTGAATTTGATCGCGGTCTCGATATGAGCGCAGATCATGTACACCTGCCGGCCGTTAGACTATCGAGCGGCCCTGCAGCATGCGTGACCGCCTACTACAATTGCTTCTCCTCAGGTGTGCAAGTCAACTAAGGTCTACTGCATATGCAGCTTGCTGAGCAGTCTTGCGGGCAGGTGCTTTTTGCCACGCTTTGGGTGGCAAAACGGCAAGCATGCGCAACAAGGTTCAAGAGGAGCTGCTTCCTTGCCAGAGTTGCCACCACCACTCCCACTGATCGAGCTCAGCTACCTCAAATGGCTGCTCAGCGTGGAGAAACATTTCCTCTGTAAACTCCTGGCCAACAAATGACAAGATCGTGGATTGGACTGCTAGCGGTAGGTAGCCTGGGGGGGTGTCCCTGACCTGCATCGACTCGAGGATTCGTCTCAGAACGAGCCATGGCGGCCATTGTGAGTTTGAGGCAGCCCAAAGCGTCCACACTGCGGAATGGGCTTCAAAATGCCGAGGCCGCACCAAGCAAACACAGTTGAATCCAGAGCTTACTCCGGAGCTGCAGCAGCGCTCAATGGACGTGTAAGGCCGGCAAGGAGTAGTCGTGGAAGAAATCTCATGGAGATACTCCAGAATAGGCTTATCATGATACTTTAGTGGGTCAAGGTCCAGCTGCCGCGCATGCTGTATAAAGCGCTCGGCAAGGAGCCCGCGCCACTTCATGAAGGGCGAGAGATCGGGCGTCGGAAAACGCAGAACACCTATCACATGCCGGTGCTTGTAGATGCTGCCGCACCATGTGGTAAAGGTCTGAACTTTGCCATTGTCATTCACATACGTTTCGTACGCATGCTTCACACCACGCTGTTGTAAACGCCACGCTGCCAGTGCTAGCGGCGGCTCGTGCGTCTCATACCCGTCTTGGATCAAGCAAATCTTGCCAGTCTCGTCCATCAGGGCATTAATCATCACCCGCGAGTGCGAATGCCTCCTGAGGCGAATCTGATCGCCTTCGTCCAACGGGTCAAGGCTGATATCGCCAAGGATTTGTAGGGCAATGCTTGAAAACAATGCAGGGGCAACCTCAGCTGGTTCCATGCATTCAGCCAGACAGCGCCAGCGCATCTCCTGTTTGAGACTGGCGTCCATATCTTCGTATTCCATGACTTGAAGCTGAAGCTTTTCAACAGGCATCAGGCTTCCACATGGCAACTGCCCAGGCTCTGGCATTGGCAATGTTGGGAGCTGAGTCACGGCCCACTGCGCTCTGGCTATGCTTCCTTTGGGCATGCCTCGGCACCCCGCAGCGTTGGAGACAGCTGCCATCTCAACTGCACAACGAAACTCTACCCGAACAGGTGTGCTGCACACGCACGGAAGGCCAGAGCCATGGGCTTCGACATGATGCTGGACAAGCAGCTTGGCAATCTACGGGCACCGTATGGCTGTCATTCTGAAAACTTGTCTCCTAGGGCTTGCATGCATTTGCCGTATATCGTAGCGCGTGCACCACTTGACTTCTACTTCATTTCAGTATCTATCAACCTTAACTTGGCAGTAGACTAGTCACAGCTGCTACACACGCCTGTGCTTCAACTCAAAGGGCCATAAAGCACGGTGCTGCAATTGCAGGCTTGACTGTGACCTCAACTCTCTAATGGTCTGCTTGCAAATGCGTGTCTTGCAAAGCCCTTGAAAATCAGCTGGGACCGGCCTTTACAACAAACAAGAGGAAGTCCCATAACGCACTCACCAGTACGAGGACTCTCCGCCTGAGCACAGTTTGTCACATGGATACATCCAGCCATTCACAACTCTAGATACATGTCTTACAGCCAGCGCAATCGTTTGAGCCGACTTGTTCCAGTGCAGCCCAGGCACTTCAGCGACACAAACATGTAAACCTCCCAGCACTCAAAGAGACAGCTGTAAGAATAGCAGCTCGTTTCAAGTTCATGAGCTAGATTTTGACTGCAGTACTAGACTTTCAGCCGTTGTTCATGGACCCGGCAACCAATTCGAGGTTGAGACTGCTAGCCTTCATTGCCATGCAGGGCAGCTTTACAAGAGCCAAATTCGGCAGCTGCGTGAGGATGCCCACCTTGCACACGCACAAAAACACAAGCACATGAGGAGATGACACTCTATCAGACTCTATCAGCTTCTGCGAGCTTCAACATCCGCTAGGCCAGACTGCAGTTCTGGCCCACGCAAGGAACTTGGAGGGTGTGCAAAATCATGCCAGGGTCCTGAGATGTCCTGAGGACTCCGCAGTCTCCTCAAACTGGAACATTACCTGCGCAGAGTGAGACCCACCTAGAATTGACACGTCGTAACATTCGAGCGGCAAGAGCAATTTCAAGAAACACTTCAAATCTGGACATCTGGCTGGCCTTGTTGACGTAGCCCAGGGCAAAAATGCGGGGGACTTTGCCGCGGTGACTGAGCCTGAGCAGGTCAGCACAACACCTGAGCGATAGTAAGTTTGAGCTTGCCTGTCGCGCATATGATGGACTCTGATAGACAATGGACCAAGAACACAATCCTACGAAGCAACAAGACTACCTTGCAGCACTTTTCAAAATGATCCCAACCTCCCAATGCTGCCTGCATCCAGATAGGAACAATACGTCTCCAATGCTGATGAATTTGCGGCTGACCGCCCATTTTCACCATCCGCGTCACAATCTGTTAGACAGCGCAGTCTCACCACAGAGTTTGCAAGGTACGTTAACCTTACACTCCGGGAAGACGAACCTTCGGTGTACCGTCTCGTTGTGACGGGCAAGTTGCGAATCCTGGGGCGCAAATCTGCGCAAGTGCGGCCCGAGTTAAGCGGCAGGGGCAACTTTCATGCGATGCGTGCGATAGATTTCCAGAGTGAACTGGCCGAGCGGGCGCTCTCTCCATCCCTTAATGCGCTCCTGCGCGCTTTGGGAAAAGCTATCCATCGTGATGGGGGGGATGAATCCACCTGTGTACTCTGGAGGCAGCACCGCCGGGGCAAAAAGCGCTGCCAGCGCCACAGCAGAGGCTGTCAACTGGTTGGGGTCTGAGGCTTTGAAGCAGCTGTTTGGCTTTGCCAGCTCGGCTTCGAGCTTCTTGATCCCCTCCTCCAAGTCTTTCAGTGTCTTGGCCTGCCGCTCGTCGTCACCCACCAGCTGCTCCCACATCTTACCAGCCACGGTTCGGCGGAAGCCGCTGAGACCAAACAGGAAATGCTGCCACCAAGAAACCGGAGACTTCTCGCCAAACTCCTTGAATGTGCCATCCATCTCGTCCCTCAAGATATCTGAATAAACAACGCTGCGGGTAGTCGGGCCGATGACATAGTTGAGGGTCTGGAAAACCTCTTCCGGCACCTCCCCAAGACCTGCAAGTTTGAGCACCTGCCACGAATCGCCGAAAATCTCACCAGAACTGGAGACGTAGAGAGGGGTGCCGCTGCCTTTTCCTGTTCCAGCTTCGCGCGCCCGCTGCCGGATGCGCTCCACGGGGCTGAAGAACATGTGGATGCCCGGAAGATAGGAGTACTCGGTGAAGGGAATCCTTGAGTTGCACTGGCAGGTTCCACCCACGATCCCTGAACCTCCGAAATCCTCCTAGAAACACATGTGCGGTGGGATGAACTATGACTTCCTAAAACCTGTCTTCGCAGATTAAAGTTGGATCAAGCAACTTGGCAATTTGAAGCGACCACCTGGACAGCTCGCAATAGTGCGAGAAAGGGATCGTGTACAACTCCGCCATGGCCGGCACGAGGAGTAAATGATATTTGCCTAAAGACCCCTAAAGCCCGCCGCTGCAACGGTTGCCGTGGCCTCCAGCAATGCCTTCCGTTCTGACCGCTGCACGAAAAATCCGTCAAGGAAAATCCAATATGCCGAAAGAAAAAGGAAACAGCCAGCTGGCAACATGGAAATGTTCTCGGCTTGTGTTTATAATGTTGTCAGGCATCATGCTTCACAGACACAGACCATATGGAACGTCTGATGCTTGCCTGACGCACATCGCGTGTTGCTAAGAGCCCTTCGCGCAACTGAAATCGTGACAGTCGCGCAGAGCTGAGGTCGTTTCGCGGCATATCTCATTGCGCCCTTCCGCGGGTGGCACAATCTTGGCAGGGCATGCTTTTCAAGGCTGGGTTGACTTGAGCGCACCCAAGGAGGAAGCTAAGCCTGTGGCTGCACAACGTCTGTGACCAAGTATGGGATTGAGAACCTCAAGGCTTTGTCACCGTTAAGCAAACACGTCGCGCCTTCGATTTTCTGATGCTGAGGCACCGGCAGCTGCATGTAAGTGAGAGAGATTCGCACTGCGAGGTTGGAGGCCTTAAGTTGTTATTGCTTCAGGCTTGAAACACGGAATAGAAAGTGGAGACCTGATGCCGAATGGGGCATGCAGGCTGTTGAGAAATACACCATCTCAAGGGTGCCGGGAAGTCTGACTCTGCCACAGGATTGCAGGAAGCATTCAACGGCTGTGCATCTACTTTTTTGCCGCTGCGCTCGCGATCACTTTAGACCTCCACCGCCCACGCGCAGCTCCTGCACAGGTAGCCCTGCGTGGCTAGCTTTGTATCGCCATCACCGACATCGTTGGCCGGAGTTGTCATCGCACCTGATGGCAGTGCAGATGCCCACCGCTGCAACTACCACACGACGGACGTGCGTGGTTTGGTGTGAGAACCCTGCCAGCCTATGCCACGATCACGACCGCCATCATCATCTGTTTTCGTTTCCTGGAAGTGTAAGGCCTCCACCACAAGGTCGCCAATGGGTAGCATCGTTAGGCGTCGCTTTCGACAGCTGACTCTTCTCCAGCACAGATCCACCACTTGGCGGGGACGCCGCCGACATCTTCTTCCCGGACACAGGACAAATGTGGGTGTGCCTAGGCTGACAATGCAGTGTGCTAACGGATTCATGGGAAGCCAAGGCAGAGGCTGGTGCATCGAAAAGGGCACAACGATCGCGAGACTTTTTTCATTGAAATATGTCCTTCTTTGGTCCAGTCCAAATTATCATGACATATCATGACTAGGTCGGAGAAACTGAGAATTTTGGCCTGTGCTGGGCTCGGCTTGGTGCACGAGGCCCATTGCTATGTGTAGGCTGGGTGAAAGCCAGCGTCAGTACAACGACTTCACCGTGAGCAGATGTTCCAAACAGCTTCTGCAGTTGGGCCACCCCGCTGCATCGACAATAGTTCTGGTGCCCATACCTCACTTTGTTCCACAAGCGCTCTGCAACGACCATGCCACGAGTGTGCTGCCGCGCTTCACCCCGGCTCATGCCAGCACAACCAACCCTCAAGATGGACTGCGGGCATAATTGGGGCGAGATTCGGCACATCCATCTCGAAGACTTTGTCCTCTCAGACAAGGCAGCATGAGAATACTGCCTTTCAAGCATACGGGCAATTTACATCTAAAAACTAGATGTGAACCAGCATGGGACACGGCGCAACGCCTAATTCTCGCACTCAGGCTTGGACAGTTGACAGGTCATGAGCGGTGGTCCTCAGGCAACCACATCCCCACTGCGATGGTTCGCATGGCATGGTCGCCCCAGCGATGGAGCCAAAAGCCTCCGATAGAGTCCAAGTACCTCGCAACACTCCCGTGGTCGCAGAGCGAGGCGTGCAAGAGAACAGCAGGAAGCAGAAGCCTACCAATAATTAGGACACATCATGACAAGGAAGAGCAGGTCCAAGAACTAGGAAACCAACTTGCGCGGCTTGTCCGGGAGGGTACACAAGTTCACGCACTTGCTACAGATCGCGAAGGGTTGGAGCACGCAGTTTAAGGAGTCTAGGGCCACGATGGGGAACAACCAAATCATCGAGCAATGCTGGCGTATCTGGAGGATCAAGCTGGCCTGAAGTAATCCTGGTACGGGTCGGATCTGAACCAATCCAGCTGCACGATTTCAATGTCGTTCATGTACAGTTGGTAGGTCCATTGGACATCTTCTTCTCTGACAAACTGTCTCAGAATTGGTGTTCCTCGCGGATCTATGCCCTTCATCTTCATATACATCAGCGAATACTCCCAGAAGTGTCGAACTGCCCCTGGCAAATCGGGCAGCAGATGTGACCAAGTGTAGACGTAACCACCTTCATGCATTGCGGCGATTGGATCTGTGCTGACCTCCGCAGGGAAGTATCCATCCGTGTCCAGGGTCATCGCATACTGAAATCTTTGCAGAACTGGTTGCAAGAAGATAGTGCCACTTCGGAAACGGCACATACCTCGGTACCCCAGGGACCATTTGATATCGCCTAACGCTGCCTTGCGCGAAGGGTCTTCCAGAATAAACTGCGGTATTTCCAGGTAATCATCCACGTACGCGAACCAGATCCTGTTCTTCGACGCGTTCACAACTTGTTGTCGATGAAATTCAGACAGGCCATCGTTGAAAATGACGACGGGATAATCGAAGCGCCGATTAAACCGGCGCCAAAGGCGAGGAAGGCTATGCTGAATGTCCTCGATGTCAGTGTCATCATCTGATGTCAGGTAGTGCAACACCGCTGTGAAGTTGCGCTCAGCATCCTTTGCGCTCGAGTCAACTTGCTCACATAGGGGTCCTCGGAAGGGTGGGAAGCACTCGCAAAAGCCCTTGACACATCGGCCCCGCTGCTCAGATTCCAGAAAATACTTCATACCAGGTATTTCTGCCAGCTGCTTCACAGCCCATTGCTTGAAGACTTCCCGGCTGCTGCCTGGACCAGGCATGGTCCCTACCAAAACCTGATCTTCCGAGGCCTCATCCATCTTGTGCCACTCCTCGTCAGACTTGTCAGCCTCCTTGGAAGCCTGGACTTCACGTGCAATCTCCTCCCGACGGCAATCTGCGTCACCAGAGATCCAGCCACGCTCGGACTTGATCTCCGCTGGACGTCCGCCTTTCCAAATCCAACACAAAGGTTGGCCATACAAAGCTGTTGGATCGTAAGTCCAATAGTTGCAAGCAGAGGCCGTGCAATGAGCTTCGCACGCGCCCACAGAGTCTTGGATCGTCTCTGAAACATAGGGGTCATTTCCCCAGCCACGATGATCTGGTCGCACGCAGCTCTCGGTCGCAACTTCTGAATACCTATCCAGACTGGCCAAGTGGGCTTGACAGTCAAAGTTCCGCCTCTGCACAGGTATACTTTGACCTCAGAGATGGAATTGCAGCAGTTGCTCCCATTTTTCAGACAACAGCACATCAACAAACAAGCACTGGAAGGGCAGCCAAAGGACGGTCCAGAAAGTAGCAGATGATCTTCTCTTTCTCTCTCATGGGTACAGCAGGATCTGCCTAGGCACTGGCCAGAAAATGCGGCTTTCAAGATGTGTAGGCAGGTGAATGATCTCCTGTCCTGTTTCCGCATAGGGTATACCCCATACCAGCTGCTATATACACATACATACATACATACATACATACATATATATATATAGGTTTAGCTGTACAGAGCAGGAACACTGTGGAAAGAGACCAACACCCTGAATGCACACCATGCCAGAACTGCATGCTGCCGCCCTTCTGATATGCCGGCCAGCACACCACCAATTGTAGCTTTAATCGTGCAATAGGCACTCCAAAACGGGACCCCCAATTCTGAGAAATCCCACGTGGTTCATGCAACTTGTATCTAGGCTATGGTGTTGTCAAGCGGCCAGCCGACCCATGTCCTGAGACAGAGGAAAGTGAGAGGGGGCAGAACGAACACACACCTTGTTTCAACACAGTACTGCACAGAAGATCCATGGTATCCTTATGCTATCTTCTTTGCATCCCTGCAACATCTCCGTGGTCTATGTGAAATACTGCTGGCAGGCTCAGCGGCAGGGCCCGCAACCAACTCCAGCTTTGAGAAATAACGGCTGCCAGCAGCGCAGTGCCAACCTGGCCACGGCCCGCAAACTGATCGCTATCGTGTTGAAGTGTGCGAAATGCTTCAAAGAGCTAACACGTCTCAAGCCGGTGCAATTCTTGCTTTTTCTACCTTAAAGTCACGATTGAGTCTTTTGGATATTTTCTCAAGGACGTCGTCAGATGAGCTGAAAAAAGTTCATAAATTCATTACCCAAACTTTCACCATCAGCTTTAACTGGGGCCGCCTTCATGCGGACAAGGGGTATCCCTAGTGGAACCTTTATTCTGAGCCGGGGGTATCGGTTGGGTATCGGTCGTACACGCCTGCCAATGAAAGAGCATCTCGGCCAACCCCAAATTGTCACTGTTCTAAGGGCCCGCCCAGTGAACTATGGCCATATCAAAGCTATAGTGCGCCCACTATTATAAGCATCTCTATATACGGGCTTGTCTTTTCAGCTCCGATGCGTTCTGGCTTCTACAGGGCTTTTTGTGCTCTGACCCCCTACTCTCAACCATTAGCCAAGTAGCTCTAAGCTCGCTAAAGCGTTCGGGAATAGTACACGCGGCTGGGGTAAAGAGCTACAAGTTGCTGCTGTTCATCAATCGCGTAATCCATCAAATTCCAAAAAAAACGCTGGGCTAGACTGTTTAGATGGCCTCTCAGCCAGCTGGCAAACGAGTCGGGATGCCTCGGGTATCAGGGACTACGAATGCCTTGAGTCCTGCTTGCGAGTCTAGTACAGTAGACACACGAGACAGCTGCCAGCCCAGATGAGATGCTGCTGGCCGCCCCGGTAGTGTGCCAAGTCAGCCTGGATGTCCTTCCGGACGTAGATGGCATAAGCAAACGACACATGATGTAGGATGTATCCTTGGGTGCGCAAGCCACTAACAACACTAATTGTCGCGTGACTCACAGCTTCTTCTAGAAATCTTCTTCCACAACTACCAGCACCAACATCACCCTGCTGCTGCTGCCGCCACAAACGTCGCCGCCACCGCCGCTGCCACGCCGCCGCCACGCCGCCGACGCCCGCCACCACCATCACCACCACCACCCTGACCATCCCCACCGCTGCCGCCACCGCTGCAACAGCCACTTCCACTACTATTTGATACGATTGGCACTCCTTCCTTCACAAGAAAAATCACGAGACCAAGAAGAACAATAATAGGAAGAAGAAAAAAACAACAAAAAAACAGGAACCGGCACGAGACTAATGCCAGTTTTGATGCCGAACTGAGTAAAGTTGCGAAATTTCTTGTGGCGCATGCGCTCGAGCATGCTGTCGACAGCAGCCAAGGAGCACTGCCCCATCCAAAAGGCCGTGGTCAGGTATTCGTCCATGGCATCCATAGTATCATCGCCGGGGCTATCGTCGGTGGAATGTTGTACCCAACCCTTGGCCAAGCGTGTGTTGCGCCATGCTGGCCTCATGATGTGCCACCATGCCTCAAACCTGGGCAGCACCTCAAAAGGTGGCGGTATCAGCGGGTTGATGGGCACAACCAGAATCTTCGGCTGCAAGGGCGCGCCAGAAAAGAGATACTCAATAGCATGGCAATTATGAGTAGCTGGATGGAGGAAAAACAGATCAGGCGCTGGTTCAGTCGACTGGCGCCACAGAACATCTAGCCTGTGGAACAGATGCTCAATCGATACTGTGTCAAATGCATGGTCATCATATGGTCGCAACGGGTCAATGAACTTGCTGATCGCGGCCTGCGACACATCACCAAGGCGACGGCCAGCGACGCGAAGCTCGCCTTTATATGGCGGATGTATATTGACGGACCACACATACCCGCCGTAGCCGAGAACTTCTAGACACAGGCTCGGATCATAGTAAACATCGGTGCCTGTGCAGCTGAAATTCTGTGCCCAAGCACCGTCGGCACTTGGTCTGATGGCAATGAAAGAGTTTGACAGGTCCATCCTCAGCGCCTCGATCTGCTCCAGCATCTGAAGGATGGTAGGGACGGGCTTGGATCCCCAAGGTGGAAGGCGCCATCTTCTAGGCCACCCAGAGTCTGTAATTGTGTCTCCATCTCCTGCAATGAAAGGTGATAGGGATGCATCGCAGAGACGGCCCGTTGCACCTGCCTTTCCACCAGGGCCAGAAAAGAGACGTAAGGCATTGCCCCCGGTTGCCAGGGACCGAAGAACGGGAAAGGACAGCTGTCCCAAGGTCGTAAGGGATCCTTTCTTGGATTTTGGCTCAGCCAGAGGATGGATGTAGGAACCAGAGGTTGAAGCTGGGTCTGTCTCATCAAATGTGACGCCTGATAGAATGATGTGGCTCTCGTTGCTCTTGGACCTAGGTTTTTTAGGAGCCTTTCTCTACACTCGCCCTGAATTATGCATGGTTTCCAAGCAATGACAAGGAAGGCCTGATGCATTGAACCCTGAACAGTGCTGAAAAAGCATGGAATCCCTCATCTGCAGTTGCTGCGGTGCAATGGCTGCGATGTAGAATGTAGTTCGTCCAGTACCGGGCGACCACACTGGGAGCTGGCTACCAGATGCGACGATACGCGACATTTACAATCTCATGGTAACCTACTAGTGATCGACGATCCGTTTTGTCGGGATAGTCCTTACCAACTTTCAGGCAGCCTTCTTTCTGCAAAAAGCCGAGTCACTCCAAGGAGATCACCTCACAAGCTGCCCGTGCAAGACCCTCTCCCCTAAGGCCACCGAACTGAACAAACTGGTCCCGTACCTATCCTTGAAGCTTACTCGATCTCATCAACAGACCTCGCCCCAAACTCAAGAAGATGCGTGCAAACTGAATTCATGGGGTTCTTTCTACGTGGCTTCTTGCCAGCTTCTTGCCAAAAACTTGCCTGCATCGCCGGGAAAAGGATCCTCGATGCCACTCGAGCAACGCACGTTGCGTAGGCCTCATCCCAGTCGATACCTCAGGGAGCTGAGGTGCAGGGCGGGCCTCTGCTGTAGCTGAGTCGAGGATGCGCCTGACACCGCCTGTCGGGGCCCGCCCAGAACCAGGTTGGCCTTAGCAGTTCTACTCTCGTCACGGCAGGCTTCAAACACAGCTCGCTAGCCACAAGTTTCTGCCTAGTAGCAGCGTAGCTCTTGGCTTCCCGAAGATAACTTTGGGAGGCCGTGCGGAAGTCCAGGCCACCCTCACCTACCAGCAACTCCATGTCCAGCTGCAAGTTGTTGAGCCTGAAGCAGCTACACGGCGCACAGCAAATGATTGAAGACACAACATGTCTAAGCCACCAACCCGGGTATCATGCTAGATGCGAAATCTCTCTTAGGAAACTGTTCAGCATCCGTTCGTGAAGTTTGAAACTCTGATCCCGCCCTTTTTCGGTCACATATGCTAGGTTTTCGTGAGCTCTACAGATGACCACTCATGAGTCATGTCTCAGGGTTTTGAAGATGTTGGCTTGTTTTGTCTCTTGGCTGGCTTTGGTTTTAGAGCTTGGTCTACACTTTGCTGTAAAAATTTGCGGGGAATCTCAGACCAAGAAATCCGAACATTAAGTAGTACGTTCCAACATCAGGTACATCAATATTTCAGAGTGTACTGACAGGATGCTCAATGTTGCCACTTGAGGCCTTGAAGCTGCATCCCATCTGAAGTTTCCTATGCTGCCAGGAATGTGGCGGTGACCACCGATTTCCATACACTGTCCTGAATGCTGATTAGCCCTACAGCACCAGCGCAAGTACCACTTACTGTCCGCGGACAGCAAAATTCAACTTCTTTCTCTTCATCAGGGCTCGTAGGATTGCTGGTTTTTGTCTTTCGGTTCCCTGCCATGTCAACTTGCACAAGCTGGCGGAGGGTTTGAGGTTGTCACGTCAAGGATTGTCAATTTGGAGCATCTGCTTGACGCTCATGGCTCGTGCTTGCCCTTTCGAGATACCATTTGAAACGAATCTGTACAAAGCCAAGCTGCTTCTCAACTAGCTGCAACTGAGAGAAAGCCATATCCAGCTCTGCTGGATCTGCGCAAGCCTGCGGGCATAGGATGTAGCACCTGAGTTCACTCATGTCACAGTATTGTAGTAGCAATGAGAATGATACATAACAGTCTCTTGCAGCAAGGGTATGCTGATGATAGAAGTGTCACTTCACATTCTGCGCAGCCCAAGGCCCACACGCAAACATTCGAAACGCGTCGGCAATCTCCTGACAAATGTCATTTTTCAAAGCTAGGTCAAAGTCCAGTAGCCGGCCGCTTACAGATTGCATTGAGGTTACAACCACAGAACCAGAAGTGGTAAGAGGCAAAGCCGCGGCACCAAGAAATCGGATGCCACTGCATTGAGCTGAAACAGCCGAATGTGCTCCGGCACAATCTTTGGCCGGGCATGGCCTGCAGAGGTCTAAAGCTTGGTGGTTCCAAGCTCCGTGCAAAGGCTGTATCACATGCTTGGCAATACAACGCTTAAGGGCTTGCGGCCAAGATGCTGTAGCCGCTGTAGAATCCAAGAAAATGCTCCAAAGTCTCTCTCAGCCCCTCCTCGGCGCACGCGCATGTCCTATGATGCGCAGCTTAGGATCCTGAACTCGATGCTGGTCATTGGAAAACCGCCAGCTTGTGCAGCCCAATCGGCGTAGCTGCGGAAAAGCTGACGGTGGTGGGCACAGCTCAGCGGCCGCAGCGCCGCTGTGAAGCCCAGCCAAAACTGGCAAAGAGATGAAGAAAAAGATCTCAACATACCCCCCAAAGCTGTTTTCTGCACAGGTATGTTGGCCGTTCAATGGAAAGAGCTTTGCAGATTGGTGGGAATGTCCCCCTATCGCCTTTAGCAGATCTCTTTGCACGGTCCCTTTCGCGGCGTCTCAATCCTCACAAACCAGCTACTCACAGTCAAGTCTCCCAAAGCAGCACGGCTCGCGCGCCAAGTCTGCACATGGCCAGAACCAGATTTGGAGGGCGTAGCTGGCTCAGCAAAGGCTTGGCAGGCTGTATGCAGGTGATTTGGGAAAGGAGGGGCGTGGGCTGATCAGATCATGTTACATGCGTTCAATCCGGCTTCGTGGCTATGAGCCACAATGCCTGACCCCCACGCGCAGCACTGTCTGGAGAACCATGAGCCGGCATGCCTGGCTGCCACCCACCCACCAAATGCCCACACGAACAGCAAACAACCTCTCATCAACCGCAAGGACAATGACTTTCCTCCTCAACGCTTGCTGGATAGGCCTGTTTAATTAAGTTGCGGGCAAGACGATCTCCTTCGGGCCTGACTCCGGAGCTGACTTCACGTAGGGTTAAAGCTTCAGGCATCACAGCTGCTGGCTCTGTACTAGCCCGGCCTAGGGGTCGCTGAAGCCATGTCCGGCGCCCCGTTGGGCCAAACCTCTATTGAGCCATCATGGTTCAAGCAGCACGTGCCACAGCCTGTCCTGCAGTGACCCTTCAATTGACCTCCCCATGTGCATGCTGCAGCTGAAGTTTGTGGTGAGTCTGGTTGTGTTGACAACTTCGACAGCTGCTACCAAGGACATGCTAGCCCGGATGACGGTAGATAGCTCAGGAAAATCTTGGGCTCAGGTCAACACGAAATCGCCCACGTAGTCAATGTCTGCCTGCACCTCCAGAGGGAAGCTACTCAACCCCCAGAATCCCGCAGGTCATGAACTTGCATTTGGCGCCTGGGCGTTGGCACGTCCTCTGGCTGTAAAGATCCACAGAAGGACATAGACAACAAACAAGATGACGATAGATTGCCTGGGCAAGTGGGACGTACATTGCTGGGATATGATGCAATTTTACCTCGGACCAGAGGGAGGGCGCTCAGCGTACTGATGAATTTGAGCGAACAAAATGCCCTCGAGCTTTGACTGGTTTACTTCCTGTTCGATGAATGTGCCCTGCCTCTGGCCCTACAAGTATGTTCTTAGGAAGGTTGGAACAATGTCAAAATCTTGCAACTACGTAACTACGTCAAACGCAATCATAAAAAGTGTCGTCGATGCCCTTCATAAACATCTCTAAAATCCCAGCATGTCCCAACCAGCGACGTGTTTGTGATGTGCTCACGCATTGTCGCAGATCCAAGGAGAAACCGTTACGGAGTTGACGGACAAACAAAATGCTTGACTGTTGACTTGTTACTGAACTTTGCAGTTTGAAATATGCCTTGCATAGCGGTCATTAAGACATATATGGGGGGGGATAGCCACAACTACCATAATTAGGGGGCAATGTTCTGCATCGAGGATTTTCGCAGGTTAACATCTAGGCACTAAACCTTACGCGGCACTTGTTTCTCCAACAAAACCTACGCAAACTTGCCGCGAACGAGCTGCGACGGAATGAATCTGAAGACCAAATGCATTCGCCTCCCACCCCTACACATGCAAAACTTGCCACATAACATGTTTTTGCCGGTCTAGCAGTTCCGGCCACTGCCACCACCCCTGCTACCACCCCTACCGCAGCTGCCACCACCACCACCACCACCACCACCATAATTGATCATGCGCATGACGGTCATGCTGATGACGATAACAGTGGTGCTGATGGTGCTCCTGCTTATGATTGCGACACGCAGCTCAATATGTACCTCAGAGCCAGGCACAACAAGTACACCTTCCCACGATTTTCTCAGCTCAATGAACTCCTTGTCAGTGCAAAGGCCTGCGCACAAATTTGTTTGATGTGTGTCTATCAGCGGGCAGGTAGATGCATTCAATGATTGACGAGGGCTGGTGCCGTCTCAGACTATCTTCAATGCCTTACGAAACGAAGGAAGAGGGGGCCCCGATGAGTGGGACTGAGGATGCTGCTGATACAAAGCGCGATGGAGGTGACTTTGTCAAAGGATGCCAACACCACCATGAGCAAGCTGCGACCTGCACACGCAGTTTGTGAAGGGGCTCGCGACTGCAGGAGAGGCTCATGGTGCACCCGAAAGCACCAGATCTGAGGCTCTCGGCTTAAACTCTTGATGTAGGAATGTTGAGACCTCTGCGGATTGCTTGCCCGAAAAAGCACGTGTGCATTGAGGTATGCTCTGAAGGCGCGACAGCAAACAGGCGTAGGAACTGTCTTCATCAGGTCCTTGGTCTGCCACTGTCAGCCGAGCACGATGCTCTTGTTGGGCTGACGAGCTGGACTCTTGTCAACAACCGCCCTGCTGTTTTAGCCATGCCAGCATGCAGTGTTGCAGCATCGCGAAAATTGTACCACCACGACCAGCTCTCCTGCATTTCTCTGCCTTTGGAGAAAATGCGTGTCGGCCTACACTGCGAAACGATGCGGAGGAGTGGGCTAAAGGGCGAGGTAAAGATGCATGATGCAAACTTCATGTCGCTACTAAAATGTGATGACCTCAGCCGCCCAGCAGGAGCTCACCCTGAAAAGAATATTTCACAGGAGTTAGGATTTCTCGGCTCAGTTCGGCAGCCTCCGAGATTTTCAGCACGTCCCCTGACCTCCAGTAAGGCAGCACGGCAATCTTCAGAATTCAGAATGCTGTCTACGAAAACAAGAACCATTCATTGGTTAGTCTAGGCATGCTTTGCAGCAAGGAGAATAAGAAGGGGGGTGATAGGTGAAGCCAGAAGGGGAAGCGGAGGAGCTTAATCTGTAGGAGAGGAGCGGTGGCTTTGTTGCTGCTTTCTGGGACTATCAAGCTGAAGAGGCAAGCACGCAATGATGGGTAGTGGCTCTGCGTGCTGCCAAACTCAAACGAGGTGTCTTTTGAATGAAGCACAGTGGCTGCACAGGAACCGGAGTGGGCGACATCAGAGTCAGAAGGGTTGGCCAATGGCTCTTCTGATGCTCGCCCTTCGGCCCCCGAGATTCCACCACAATCTGGCCGGCCTCAGCACTTTTATATACTTTTATGGTCACCTACGTGAATTCAAGGCAAGGAATAGGTTCAAGGCTTTTCCATTTGCTTTTGACGGCTAGTTCGAGCTAGCAGCTGGATCCAAGATGAGGCGGGGCCATATCGCCATGCCCGAAAAGCTTTGAGCCGTCTGCTGCGCCAGAGGCCTGTCATCCAATCAAGCTGACGCACACTCTGCGCCAAAGCTGTGATTTCCTACTTCCTGCTCCTTGCCTGGCATCGTCAGGCTTTGTCTCCTCTTTGGTAGTCAATGCCTTGGTGCTGTGACTTTCTGCAGGTTGCGTGTCTCTATGTAGTAAGGGTTGCATCGTGGCACCTCGAAGTACTGCTCGTAGTTGGACCGCAGTCGGTCCTTAACTCTTCCTGTCGTCTGTATATGTCTGTATGCATCTTGGATAAACTAGAAAGGACGTGATACTGATGAAAGGAAGTCTGCCTCGCAACATGGACTGCTTGTGTGGCTCAACAATCTTCCTTCTGACGCACCTGCCCTCTGCTGAAGTCCAAGGATCCTCCATCACCTTGAAGCTGAGCGGTTTCTGCTCCCACCGCCCACTGGGAAGCTCTTCCTTTCCAAACCGAAGTTCTTCCAGAACCTTCCAGGAGAGACAATGCAGTAAAAACTTTTGCTTCTGCCAGGCTCTCAGCCAATCCTGCGGGTCAGAGATCAGCTCCAAAGTCCGGTCCCGAGGGTTCAGAGTCAGTGGCTGGCCCTGGAGCTTCTCGAACCTTTGGAATGGATTTCTGGCAATGAGAGTCGCAGGCTAGCATTGGTTCAGCACGGCAAAATTAGCAAAGCGAGAGATCACCCCCCTGCGTCCTACAGTGTTGTCCTTAGTCCTTCAGCTAACCATGTAAAGCGTCAAGCCACTTCGGAGGAGCCAGCACAGGGTGAAGAGCATAGCTAACAGGGGCAGTCCAGGTCTGCACCGTGGCTGGGATGTAGTTCTCGGGGTTGTTCGGGTCCTTCATGTGCCGCTTCTGCGCGTCCTCAAGCACAACGAGACAAGGACTATCAGGAGGAACTGCGCATTGTTTTTGAGAAGTGTGTGCTTTACAACAAACTGAAGAAGCAGCTTCCCACTTCAGCCGATGCGCTCGTATGGAAGCCACAATGTTCTCCTTTCGAACAAGGAATGGCAAGGCAGTCATATGTGCTGCTAAACGAACAAGGACGGGGCATTGGACATCTGAGGGCATGTGGCTGCTAAACAGGTTTTGCTGCTTTGGTCTACAATGATATCTAAAGGGAGCTAGATGCAGCTGGCGTACCTGGAAGCATGGCCCCATGCATCTTCTGTGAGGAAAAGATGTGAAAGCTAAGCATAAGGATTGCCTACTTTTCGGGAAGGGGATAGCTTTCTTGGCTTCTCGAAAAAATCCGCTGTGGCCAGGCATGGAACGATCAGGGTGCCAAAAGGTGATGACAACTCACGTGGCTTTGTTCTCCAAGTTGCCTGGGTGGCAAAAGCTCCAACCACCTCGGCAAGCACCAGGTCCACCTGCATTCGTGCACTATGATGTTTGGATGGCAGCCGGGAGAATTTTGACTGGCAAATGGAATGTGTCGCCAGGAAGCGGCAGTGGTGGTGTTGATTAAGTAGCAGCTAATATCAGGTAAGAACGCCTGCCTACAATCCCTACGTCAACACCACTGGGGCAAATGGTGAAGGAATGTGTGCCTTCCATGTCAGCTTTGAGCACTGAGGATCTGCATGAGAAAACTACTGCAAGATGATGAGGTCCCACGGTCAACAAGCCTCCCAAATGATTATTAGGTTCCTGCCTGTATCCTAGTGGCACGAACATATCCGATGAGCTCGCAGCTCTGCAAACAGAAAGCAAGCGAGTACAGAAAAGGGAGCGCATGCGCACACAGGAAAGAACCTTCTCGGGCAGGTTCACGGCTGTGGAGAATCCATCTATAACCTCTACATGTCGCAGTCCATGACTTGAGATTCTTTGGGCAGGGGTCATGCTTTCTGCAAACGATTGGCAATGACTGCAACTTTAAACTCACAAGCCTCGATCACGCCTTCAGGAATATCCTCCTGCTCTGCTAAGAAGTTGCGCGCTCTGTCAGCAGCTTCAGGATTTGCTTCCACCGCATACACCTTCTTTGCACCAGCCCGCGCCGCAACAGTCGCAAACAGCGCAAAGGGGCCTGTCCCAATGTCCAGCACAGTCAGCCCTTCGCGACCACGTACTCTCTCCTGAATGGCTTTGATGAACTGCGGTGTTCGCCTGGTATCATCCCGTTCAGCGTTGTACTGTTCCTCGTAAAAACGTAAGAATTGTACACCATCCTTGGATGGCCAGCCTGCCGAGAGCTTTGGGGCCTCTTCGGCAATGGCCGGCCACAGTGCACTCGTAGCAAGGCCTGCCGGAGCCAGGCTCAGAACTTGGCGCCGGCCTTGTCTGGATGCGCTTTTCCGCGCTGCGGGCTCAAGCGGCACCAACAGACTGGCAAAGATAAGGTGAGAGCTGCAAAAGGAGGCGCATGCAAGCAGGAGTAAGCTACGTATGCTCCGCCGTCGGGTCGGCTCTGTGGGCGCCATTCCGGCTTTTCAGCCCACGCCCGTGAGAGCTGCTAAGCCCAAATGATCACCAATCCATCGTGCGGCTTTGAGCCAAATGCAAGACAAACATCCATGCCATGATGTTGACTGTTGGCTGCGCACTTCTGCACTGCTTATAGTCCTTGCCAAATCACAAAGAGTGACCAAAAGTAGGTGCCACGCTCCACGCCTTAAGCGCCTGTGAGTAGCGCAAGAATACCCGATTGGTGCCAATCAGGAGGGTCTATTAGGTTCTTTCAATTCTGTGTAGCACGCAGGGACGGTGCCACAGCACATGCACAGGAACTGAGACTGCGCTCAGAAGGCCTCTCTCTTATTGAAGCTGTCCACCGTAATGCCTTGGCATAGCAATGCAAGTAGGGCTTCAGAAAGAACCGGCTGGCCAAGGCAAATGGGTCTGCCTGGACAAGCACCCGCGCTGACTGTGACAAACACACAAATACCCAAAGAATTAGGAATTGTACACATGCTGCACAGAAGCCGCTGACAGCCGAGGCCCTAGCCTCGTGTGAAGCGCCGTCCAGAATGCCCGGTAATCACAGGCGCGTGAGATCTGGCAAAGGGAAGCATCAAATTCAATGTGCATAATGCCAAACACACCTTCCCACTGAGTGCCCAGGTCCCTGAAGAAGAGCCCTGCTTCAGCCAGGATGACCCTATGGACCTGTTCGAAACCATAGAAAGCTGCGACCTGGGAAGTGCATGAAGGAAGCTGTTCAGCCAAACAGTTCAAGCAAGCTCTTCAAAAATGTCTTTGCATGCTGCCGCAGATCCTTTCCAGATATGTTGCAAGTAATCACGAAATCAAACCATCTGTGCTGTTGCATCATGCCAACGTCTGGATCAAGCCTGCTACTGCGGCTACGGGTCACGGAGCTTGCTCAAAGAATCTTGGGGAAGTTCAACCACAGGCACTGCTTTAATTCATGCGGCGCAGCCATTTTGTCTGCATTGAGCTTGTCAAGCTCTTTGGCTTACTGCCGCTGGCGGCATGCTCCTTCCTCTCTAGAAGCATTCAACAGCTGCAAGGGCATGGCCAAACCAACATCAGCAGAAAGCCCCTGGTCCTTCAGCGTGACATGACCCCGCTGTCCCTCCTAAGGCCTCAACATTGTACGTGTAACATGTCATCATCTGAGCCTCTGATGGAACGGTCCAGAAAATTTCAGTTTTAGATCACGCTTACCTGCGCAGAGCCTGCTGAGTGTCAGTGTGCCTCCTACATCCTGTCGCACCATGCGGGGGAAAGCACAACTTCCTGATACGAGTCCTCCGCTTCAAGTGACCCCGCAGCTGCCGCGCCGAAGAGTTGTTGCCAGTTCTATTCTGGTCTCCATCAATTGCTCGCCGATCACAGCTTCGGTATTACCTTCATGCAGGGCATAGCAAGTCGGGTAGGTTGCTAGCGGTAACAAACCCTCCGCTTATACCTGCAAAGTGGCCTTTGCCGCGTGACACTTGGGTGTTGTTTGTGTCGCGAGGCCCCTTTGCGCGATGTGTTTGATCTTGCTACTGCAATGTATGACAAGCTGAACTGTATGGTGCACGGCGTGCGGCATCCAATGAACCTTGACTGATGGCAGTGGAATCTACTTGGGCTTGTTTTCAAGGAACGCCTACCAGAGCTAAGCCTGCTTCTTTGTTGTGCATCTCAGTCTCAGTATCAGTCTGCATTGCAGCAATTTGACCAAGCTACCTCAAGGCCCTGCTCAGCTCACAGGCCTCAACCTGTGCCAGCAGGAGCTTTCCACGTGATGGTCCGGCCAGTAGGAACTGTACTTGGCGCAAAGAAAGCTTCTCCAGGACGTACCTTCCATGTAACTCTGCTTTGTGTCTAGCAGAAGCCACTGGGGTGCAATCCAAAGCGGTTGGAACTACCCTCGGTGCTTGCATCATTGAATCATCTTGCTGCGGCGGCCCTTTGTACTCAAGCTGTTGGGATATGTGCACACCGAAACATGGCCCCGAGAGCTTGACACTTCAGGCATGCTAATTGGAACTAAGGTCAGCTAAGTTGCGAGCTTCACTGAGCAGGTCCTAGGCGCTTCCATCCAGCTTCCCGCGCACTAGGCGATACGTGCTTTCCAGCGCAAATGATGTTGCCACAGTCGCTGCGACATTGTAGCAGCACAACAATTTTCCACACCTTGGTTGAAGTTGGTTGCTCAACACAGGCAATCTTTTCTCTGCGAGCCTCGCATACTCCAGATGAACAGAAATCCCAGCAGAGCTGGTGATGCGGCGCTCCAATGCAATTTTCAGCGTGCGTCGTCAGAGCAAGAGACAGTCCGACCTCCGAAGCTAACGCTTCAACTAGCGAATTCGGAAGGAGGCCAAAGAGGCAAGTGTCAACTGGAAGCATTTCGTGCAATGCTATTGGCAATACGTTCAGAGATGTAGATGCCCGTGCGACGTGCTTGCTCAAGCACTGGCGCGGTCAACTCACCTCGACCACGACGATGAGCCTGAAGGAGGAAAACTTCGAGCGAGTCTCGTGGCAGGTTTACGTTGCCAGCCAGGAAGGCGTCGTCGATCAACCTGGCATGGGAAGCAATATCTCTACAACACGAAGCCAAGCCTGTTCTTGCTGCTCTTTGGGCTGCTCTAAGCGTGACTAACTGCAATTCTTTTCAATATTACGTGTTGTCCCTTATCTGTGCCAGCTGCCTTGCTGCCGCATCCAGGTCTCCCTGCTGGAGGCTGCCGGTCAGCAAGAGCTTGTACAAGGAGGAATCTGCTTGACACCCGGCGGCTGACATCTGGTCATAGATCTGGAAGGCCTGCGTCACCTCGCCCTCTGTCACACAGGCTGAAACAAGACATCCATAGACTTGGATATCAAGCTTGATCTCATACTTGGAAGGAAGCTCTTTGAAAACACGCATGGCCGCACCAAGGTCACCACAGCGGCTGTGCAAACGGATGAGCAGAGCGACAGTTGTAGAGGAAGGGGCAACTCCACACTCTTCCATGTCGCTGATTATCTGCTCGGCAAGCACAGGCAACTGCCTGTGTGCGCAAGCCTCCAGCACTGCATGGAACGTGGAAATGTCAGGTGTTACGCCTCTTCGCTGCATCTGACCAAGCATCTGCACACTGCTCTCAAGGTCTCCTTTGGCAAGCTGTCCGCGGATCAAGACACTGTAAGTCGCACTATCTGGCACAACGTCTTCCAGCGTCATGTAGCGAAGCACTGTTGCCGCATGATCAGGGTCATCACTCTTGGCCAAGGCCGTGAGCAAAGCGTGGTACATGCCTCTGGAATACTCCAAGTGCTCTTTCGTCACACAATATAAGTCCCAAGCCAAGGTAGCAGTGCCCTGGCAGGGCTGGGCACTCGCCAGCTTAAAGGTTTTCATAAGGAGAGCAGGCGCCTGGCTGTATTCTGAGATCTCCTGGGCGGCCTCTTGGAAGGCCGCAGTTGAACCCAAAACATTGCCAAGCCGGATGGATGTAAGCACTTTTCTGCAAAAGGCTTCCTCTGCAGCGCTCACTTGCCCCGTCGAGACGGAGGATCGGTTTTCGCCCTGCGGCTGCGGGGCTGGAGATGTTGGAGCTTCGTGGTCCTTGGCACTTTGATCAGCCTTCCCTGCAAGAAGGCGGCCAGTTGCGATGCGAACCACGAAGAAGCTAAGAACGACTAAGAAGACAATCAGCAAGTCCAAGCCTCGGCTTGCGACATCTTGCGACAAAATCAAAGCTTACCTGGGCTTAGACCGCTTCTACCTCTGGAACCCACTGAAGCTCGCCAAAGCACTCAGACCCGTCCATGGGCTCCGTGAGGTGGCGGAGCCCAGGAAGGTGGTGAGCTGATGAATCGCCATCAGCGAGAGCTGCGCGGAAGGGGTAATAGATATGAAGCTACGTTGAGAGCAGAACAGCTTCGGAGGGGCAGCAGGCTCAGCCATCATGAATGCTACATCACGTAAGTCCGAGCACTACTGCCGCGCTTGGTGTAGCCGAGCATCGTTCTTTCTGCGGCAGTTGGAGAATAATGTCATCACCATGCCTTCCTGTCACTGCTGCCGCTGCAAAGACTTTCCAGATGTTTCAACTAACAACATCAGAATCAAGCATTGCTTTGCGAGCTGCGGTCTGCTTTCAGCTACAGAGGGCCACACAAGTTCCCGCCTCGGCATTAAGATGCACCAAACCTTTTGCAAGTCGATCCTCGTGTCCAAAACCCATAAAAAGGCCATGCGGGTGTTGCCAAGTGTTCCAATCGCATCTATCAACGCCAGTTCTATAAACACGGTTCGCGAAGCTTAGGTCAGAAAGCTGTTCATTGTTTCTTTTCTGCCCTGTCGCCTCACAGGCTGCGTGCCATCCAAGTCAGCAATGAGGAGGCCGTTGGGCCATTGCGCCAGTTTTGTCGGCATAGGAACCCTCGAAAAAGGCCTGCTGATTAAGTCACATTGCCGATCAATGTCTAATCTCCAAAACGGCGTAGCCTGTTTCATGAACGCATCTGGCCCGACAGATTTCGGAACGACCCATGCCTTGCAGGATTAGTGGGGCTTTGACCTGCCTCTACCTCTTGAAGCCACCTGTAGCCTTGACTAAGCTCAACTACAATCTGGCATTTGAAAACCTGGCTGCACAACCAAATGGGCAGCAGCAGACACATTTTGTCATCCCTCTGCGATGCACTACTTCATGCTTGAGACCCTGGGCAGCGCCATGATGGAAGCCATTGAAGCCATGCTCTGAGGATCACACCCCGACGATCGGGAGGCTCGGTTGAGGGCGGGCATATCCTCCTGCATTCACTAGGGTCTCTGGCCCAGCTGGGTGTAGTCCCGTATATGCAGCTGCCACAAACAATGCCAGGACAGTTTGACTTGCAGACCTTTTGCCGACTTGCGGGGTCATTGCGAAGTCTTTGGTCCGCTGCATGCGGGTTGGTAATACCTAAACACTTGGGGTGAGACGAGAGCGAAAAACCCGTCCTTTGGTCATGGCGAGCTTGGGACTACTGTGCAATGGCTCGACTGTGCCACATGTGCCACATCAATCATTTCTGCGTGGCTTCTTGCATCCGCCTCTGCTCCTCTTCTTCCTGTGGCGTCAGCTGCCGCTTGGGCCGCGCTTTGCGTGTGATCTGGCCTGATGGACTGATGTTCACATCCTTGAACTCGACGTACAACGCAACCACGACCAGAACTGCCACGGCTCGGACTCCCCACACCTCAAAAGCAGGGCGCTCGTAGAACTCCGCGTTCCTGCCCTTGTCTTGTGGTGGCTGGGGAGCACTTGTCCCCTCCTTCCAACCAGGTGGCCTCCATTTCTGGCCACCAATCGGCAAAGCCCCAGCTGACATGTGAGAACGGTAGTTCGTCAAGCCGCGGAAGGCAGCTGCTGCGGCAGGCCCGGACATGGTGGTACTGGCACGCGGGAGGTAGCTTTTTGGAAGGTGCATAGGCATGGACTTCGTATCGGTGTCGGTCACTATGTGCTTGCTGGGTGTTCCAGGTACAGCTGCCTCCTCTCCGACCGCATGGGGGAGGGCAGAGGTCTGGTTGTTCAGCATCTCCTTCATGACTTTCGATACACTTGGTTTGCTTGGATCACATCCAGGGGTTCGCATCTGCGGGAAGCTGTCCTTGATGACCTCATGCAGATGTCTTCAAGCGAATCTCCAACCCTGCTTGGCTACTAACGGCCAGTACAGGGGTGGGGAGAAGCTAGCCAGAGCCAGAGGTTATGACCGGGTGTGGTGACAACTGCTTTAACAACCCTTACTGCTATGCTGCTTACCAAGTAGGTCCAACATGCCTGATCTACAAGCTGCCTCTGCTTCGCACGTCTGAGCTACTAGTGTGAACACTAGATTTTTCTCTGTCAGCTCAGCTGCAGCCAGCCGCCGGAGCCCACGGCACAGCGCCATACCCGTGACTTGTGTAATTCAACTGTACGACTTACTGGGATAGTCAAGGACTGGTGGGGCTGCGCCTTGCCTGTGCGCGCGGCATGACGTATAGGTGCTGCTGCGTCTGATGTCTGCATCGGTCTGTGCTCTTTTTTTGTACGCAGCCTGACGATCGTGCTGCCATAAGAACGCTGGAGGAGAGAGATGCAATACGTTCACAAACCTTGAGACGACCTGCTAAGCATACTCAGGACTTGCAGCTACTTTACATGAGATTAAAGTCCCTTGCACCTCGGAATCCTCGTCATCCCCCAAAAGTTGAGCCTCAGTTTGGGAAAGAAATGCTTGGTGGCAGGGACTTGAGTGTCGATGAGGTCAGCGAAGTATCACTACGTGCTTCGGCGAGAGCTCACATTCGCTGCATGTCTCATGTCAGGGCAAACGAGCCGAGAACTATCTGTTCGACCGTAGTCTCCTCGCCAAAGACCTGGCCAAGTCTCCTTTGCTTCCTCAAGCCTGTAACAAGCTACATGGTCTCTAAGTTGCTAAGCTGGAGGAAGCTAGCAGCTACAGAGTCAACGGACTGACAGCGTCTGACACCTCCAGTGCTTTTCGCGCAAACACGAACAAAAGAGCCGGCCCTGCTGCACCAGAATCCTCGTCGAAGAAGAAGCCAGTGCGCCAAGTCTTGGAGCCTCTCAGCTTATCCATATATCTATGTGAGGGACAGCAGATTTCATGAGCCCATGGTTACTCAGGTCAAACGCACACAGCTCTGGTGCTCTATTCGAACCTCGGGACAGAAGCTTCTCCATGATACCTGCACGCAGCGGCTCAAAAAGTCACTTGGGACCGGGGAACCTGTCCTGCAATGGTGTTTGCTCCCAATCTGTGATCAGCGTTTCATGTAGCAGGCCCCCTGCATCGCATGAGACGCATCATTGGCCTTTTAGCACCTTGTCTGCGAATTTCGGCCTCGTATAGCAACTGAATGCCATCTAGCTTGGAGCGGGCACTAGAAACTGTCCAGCCAGCACCAGTCTCAATATCATCACACACTTTCATTCTGTCTGCACGGCATTCTGGTTGCATGCGCCCGATCCAGAAGACACACCCAACACTGTGCTAGGGGTGTGGCTGACCACTCGGTGGGTCAAAGAGCCTGCGCCCTGTTTACCCACGGCCAAGAGCCCGGCTTCGGCAAGCAGTATCTGATCTACACTTGATCCCGACCTCGACGGTGCTGCGACACCACATCTCCAGGATAGCGCCTTCAATCAAGCTAAGAGCTCCCGTGCGGTCACTCGTCCCCCAAGAGTCCAGGAGGGATCCACTGAGCCAAGGGCAACGTGCACCATGGGAATGGACAGCTGGGACAAAGGTAGCCTCAAAGGCAGGCACACACCAAAACAATGGAACTAACTGTCTGCGTCTGCCCTGGCCCAATCCAGTACTACATTGGACGCTGAACAGCCTGCATGACGCGAAGTACCTATTATACCTTGGGAATGTTCGTGCTATAGTATACTCAGTTCACGCATGATCTTTTGTTATCACCAGAATCCCTATTCAATGCCTACTTAACTATTGTATAACCCTACCTTCAATTTCAATCTGTACTTTCTTTTCCATTGGATGCTCCGCTCCCGAGGGGAGAAATATCTACCTGATAAGCCCCTGCGAAATCTCATTTGTCAGCAGTATACCCCAGTACCAAGGCATTGGCCGTCGCTAGGTTTGGCCTCGAGCTCAAGAGCTGCCCGAGGTTCCTTTTCTGCCTCCTGTGGAGAAACAGATTGGTAGCATTTCAGTTGGGAATACTATGCTCCCCAAAATGGAGTAAGCTTGTATCCTCCTTTTGAATATATTATCTGCAGATGACAAGGAAACTTAAGGTGAGTAACTATCAGGTAGCCATCCTTGAAACAGGCGCGCATTGACCTCCTATAGCTCCGTCACTCTCATAAGAGCCGTGCATGAGCCCACTTATGGGGGTACCGACCTGGTGACTGTGCACCTGGGGAGTCCTTGAATTGAAGATTCTAGATGACAAGTGCGGGAAGCTAACAGGAATGCCAACGGGAGCCTCGCTAGGTGGCGGCAGCTTCACCACCCTGGGTCAATTGCACCCAGCGTTTCTGATCTGTTGGCAACGGTTTGCTGCTCAAGCTGTGATTGGCTGCCTTCATGCTTGCGCGATCTGCTGTTTTGCGACCAGTGTGCCGACATGCCAAGTCCCATGACATGTGCGCACCTCCGTTCTGTAGGAATCTCATCATCCTCTCCTCGGAAATCAGATTCCGAAGGTTCACAAGCATCTGCTGAACAATGGTGTCAAGGGGAAGTGTTTCACCTTGGGTCCCTGCCAAAAACAGCTGATTGTCGGCACAGCGCTTCTCGCACCATGTGCCAGCACAGAAGAAATCTTGAAACATTCAGCTACAAGGCCCCGACCACAGGCCCTACTACTCCTGTAAATTTCGGAATGTTGTCTTGCAGCTCCTTGCAGCATCACTGAGCAACGATGGCAACTAGGAGGCTGGAGTGTCGATGTAATGCCTGTCTTGCTGCTGTTTTTTCAGTCACTGGGATCCTTAGCATGTCCAGGCGCCGCCTACTGTCTTCAAAACAATCATGCGCTTATAGGCGCCTCTCACTACCCTAAGCTACGTCGCTAAGCAAGCTGAGCCAAAGTCGCAGCAGGCATTGGCAGCAGCATTTTGGCCCCTGAGGACAAACTTGCCATCATTCAGAGTCCATAATCGGTGGCAACCTTTGGCAAAATATGAGCTAGCGTGTAAACTCCTAGCATGCCTCTAAATAACCCCTCTACTAGTCCCCTATATAGTCTCTTGAATAACCCCCTTTAACGAGTTTAGATTCTGGGTCATATATGCTCATATATCAGATAAGGTACAATAGCTAGGAGCTGCCTTGGTCTGTTGCTTGCAGCTGCTTGCAGCACAGATCTGTTGGAGTTGCAGGCTGGAGCTTTTTCCATCTAAATGTTGCAGACTCCCCGAATCGACCCCATGTTGCTGCAAATGTATGGCAACTCTATGTACGAAACCCTCTGTAGGGCTCCATCACCCCGCTGCCCACGAAGCATCCCTGACTTTTTTGAATGTTAAGGTTACATGGTGCGGCATTTGTGAGGGAGAAGGCTGGGCTTGCATGAGTGAAGGACCTGAGCTGAAGCCCTTGGTTGGGCCTTGAAGGGGTTTCCTTGGATGAGAAAAAAAGTCTGCCACTGAAGGTGAAACGGCCTGAATTTGACCTTGATTGGAAAAGGGCACGGCACCGGTCTTCGGTAGCCTGTCCATATTCGTCGCACCCATCAGCCTCCTCAGCAAGAACGGACCGCCTGGCCATCATGTATATCACACATAGAGTCGAGATTCCAGGACGCATGCAAAATGGCTGCCATGTTCAAGCAAGAAGCTACCCCTGCTAGTAGGAAATGAGAGAGCTCCTATCACTTGTCGAAAGAGGTACAGTAAAGAGCTCTTTTTCTGCTGACAAAAGACCGGACGTACATACTAGTGTTCACATACATACATACATACATACATACATACATACATACAGACTCATGCATGCATTCAACAGGTATTTGGAAAGTGTGTTTTGGCAGGTAAAATTCCAGATTTGACATTTGGCCTTAACCAGAACCATTAACAAGAACAATGACAACAAGCATTACAAAAGACAATGTTTCCCTTTGAGCCATGATAGTACAAGTCAGCCTAGCCCATCTCTCGTAATTCTTCGATTGTCCGTTAATACCTGCTCGCATTCTCTGAGATGCCGGGAACTGTGATAACGTGATACTGTTTTGCAGCGGATGCTACATTGGCAGGTCTCAAATGCAGCGCTGGTAGTTTTGCACGTGAAGAACTTCAAAGCTCGCTCAAGGAAGACGGTCCAAACCATTCCAAACTATTCGCAATGGCCTCATGCTATCCCTCCGTCGCTCTGCTGGACTTGCTTTGGCTGGCCTACCCTGGCAAAGGCGGCAGCATGTAGTCCTCAGGCTGAAGCCAGGTGCCAACAGTTCAGACAGATTGTGTCCTTGACATGCTTCTAGCAACCACGGCAAACCCCTGAAGTCAGGTGATTCTACGATCAACGAGAGACGCCTGAGTGCAGCACGACTGTCTCCCAGCCGCCTTTATCTTCTGCAACTTCCCTGCAAGAACAGCAACTGGTAGTGAACAAATTGGTGTCACAAGCTTTCCATACAGGCCCTCACTCATCTGAAGAGCTATTCCTCCGAGCGTGGCACTTTTGTGTCTTCTTCGTCCCTTTTTTCCGTTTGTAGAAGTAGGGCAGCCTGCACGGCATCTTTAGGGAACAACAACCTGTGCACACTGCTGCCTCTCTTGTTACCAGCCTAATAGATATGCACTTACTTAACTGTTGTGTTACTGCACACTTTTTCGTCCACATCTGGCGCTTCGAACCAAGAGCAAAGTACCGACGTATGCCTCACCTGACAACTCTACGCAATAATTTCAGTACTCCACATCCTCACGCTGTTGCCGCTTCCAGCTGCTCCACTCTCACATTCTTGCACCTTCTCATGTGGAATGAGGCGCATTCTACATCTCCATCAGCGGTTCTCGCTGCTTCTTCCAGTACAAGTTGCTCGTCTGCCTCACCCTGGGCCTGAATGCGCCTGTCGTATCTCCGGATTCGATGCTCACTAAGAGCTTCTTACTCTGCAATTTCAACAATCAACATCTGCGAAGTGATGGATGGACAGGCCCCCCCTCCCAGTCATTAAGGCAAGGCGAATCGGCTTGGGTGCGCTCACGTCATGCTCAATGCCCAGCAGGGGCATGAGCCGATGGATGTGCTTGTACAGTCGCCCTATGGGGAAGCACATAGCTCTTGATCCAGTGTAGCTGCCTCCTGCGCTAATTCCTACACCCTAAACCCTAAACCCTATATGACCCCATTATAATGGTTTCCATTTTCTTTTCCATTATCCCTATATGGGTGGTTGGCAAAATTATGGTCCCCTTTTGGATCCCCATTATAATACGGCACCTAATATTTGGGGTACCCAAAAAGGGACCATAATTTTGACAACCACCCAAAAAACCCCCAATATACTATGCTGCAAGGCAGTAGCTGGTTGCGGCTCTCTCGCTGCTCTTGCTTGAAAGCTACGATGGCATCCGGAGATTTGGATGGCTTGGGCTTCTCCTGGGGTGCGGCGCATAACTAAGCCGTGGCCCATGTTGGTGACATTGTCCGACCGCCATGGGCAACATGAGCTAGCAAAGGCTAGGGCATTTCCACAACAGGGAAGAAGCATGAACTGCAATAACTGGCACTCAAGCGCTACCAGTTGGCCTGGTAAAAACATTCACTATGAACAGGTCTTTGGCGGCACCTTCCCACTCCACCCTGGCCTGCGGCGATGGGCAGCTGTGAAGGGCTCCTCCTCCTTTGCACAGGCAAGTGGCTGACCCAGCCAGGCTTTGATGGCACTTGCCCCCGTCCCCATCCTGCTCCTTCCCGCCTCCCTGCCTCCACTCTCGACAAAGCAAAGTAAAAAACCAAAAACGTGATCCCGTTACTCCAAGTCCAGTTGAGGATGGTTGAGGCAATACAGTAGCAAGCTTCAAAATCGATTCAAGTAGCTCCCACACAGTCCTTGCTGTCAGAAACGTCCGACTCGCTATCCTCACCGCTGGATTCGCTTGAGTGGAGTTCCTGCCTCGGCCAATTTTTGGAAACGCGGCAAGACTATTTAGGCTTTGAAGATGCTAGCCCGCGATTCGTTGAAACCTCTGGCAATAGTGGGTTTCCGACCTGGCGTTGAAGGCTCCCCTCTGACCTTGCGTTCTTTGCCAAAAGATGCCAAAGCACACTCCCAGACTTCAGCAACCTGCCCCTGATGCAGCTGTAGTACGTCTAGCATCCTTCGGGTTGACCTTCTGGACCTTCCTGAAGACTGTGCAAAACTATTGCGCAAGTCTGCTTCAAGAACATCCCAAATCCAAGTCTCCTGTCCGGCCGCCAGACATGCTGCATGTACACCAGTGACGCCTGCGGACGCAGACCACGTTTGTGGTGTGCGTAGTCTGGCAGACAAAAGTAAAGCACATGACATTAGCCTGCGGCATTGTATCCAGCAGTACATAGCGCCTTGGCCATCACTCCACTGTAACATAAACTGAATGAATCAGATACGTTGTCTCGGCACAAGGCTCAACGTTCTGCGTAGAAGCTTCGAATACGAAGCGGAAGCCCAAAGCACCAGGGAACCAGCCGCAGTCGCCTATGAGACTGCAAGCCCAACATGAGCAGGGAACTGGAAAGTGGATCAAGCTGCACACTGGCCTAGCAGTAGGCGTTGTTCATCCGGAAACACGACTGGCACCTGCAACTAAGATCTTCTTCCCTAACTGCACCGCAGAATCTAGGCGTAGGAAATGTTCTCGGCATCTGCTGTGGAACTTCATGGAAGTTGATTGTGGCTTCATGTGATCTAGGATCCATGTGGGCTCTGATGCCAGGGCTTAAGCCTGCCGAGTTTCACGAATTCAGGATCCACTCCCGGACAGCAGCTCATTTCTTGATAGCTTGAGTGATTCCTCCAACCCTTGGCAGCCTCCCAGCGCTTCCTGAGGTGGTCAGTCATGTCCGTAGGCTGGCACAGACAGCTACTCGGCGGTGCATCCTTGGTAGAAGCAGCTGGGCTGAATAAATCGAGAAATGTCAGAACTACGAAGCAAAGCCCACCATCCTCAGAATTCTTGTCAAGCTGCAGCAGCTGCCTCTGCAGGTACGGCTGCATCTGACCGCCTGCTCCAAAATTGTCTGCAGGGCTTTTCTAGTTCCCCGACATTTTGGAAGCCCGGAATCTCCGCACACGCTGAACATCCATGCAACCTTGCCACCCTGCTGGCCTCACGGGCGTTCCACTTCGCGACACGAAGTCCGCATAGCGGCAGACCACAGTCTCAGGGAATTGCCGTCAGCTTTCAGGATTGGGATCAAGATTCAGGGATTGAGTATTCGCGAACCTTGTTCAAGCTTAGTCATATGCATGATTGAACTCAGCTGAGGTCGCATCTGTCGGATCTTGCAGAAAACTTCGAGGCACTTGATTGGCCGGGAAGGTGTAGAGGTAGAAGTCCCCATGACAGAACCTGTCATGGACAAAGCCACAGTGTCTGAAAAGCATCTCCTTCCTCAAGCTGTTGGCCCAAGAGTGCCCTGTTGCTTCAAAGCAGCCAGAAGAAAGGGTCCGCCGCAGTCAGCATGCCAGGCCCCATTGGCGCCTGACCAAACAGATGTCTGCAAGGTGCACCACTCATCAAGCAACAACACCGAAGCCTTGCCTGCTGGCGCTTTAGCACCAGCTGCTTCCGCCTTCATGCCCATGCTACAGTATGTCCGCTCAAAATCTGAAGCCGCTCCGTGTAGCATCCAAATCTGAAGGGCCTAGCGGCAGTCATGTGCTGCTTCTTGTCGTCCTCCAAGGACTTGAGCCCAGTCACACCTTCACACCGGTGCCCCAGCAGACCACGGGAATCACGCTGAGACCGGGGAAGTTTCAGGCAAACCGGCAGGCCGTCAAAGAGTCCGCCGCGACTTGGAAGTGGCTGGGCGTGCCTTGTTTGCTGAAGAACGCGGATCGGGACCTCAGACTTGCTGGCAATCCTGTTGCAGGTTGCTACAGTGCAATGCAGCCTGTGCACTGACTGGGGCCCCTACAAGGAACCTTTGCCTTTGCTAGGCTCCTTGGTATGACCGATGCACGTGCTGATGGCGGTTTTCGAGGGCTGCAAGCAAATAGAGCCGGCAAATCACACGTAAATCCCATCCGTGATGGTCCTAGAAATTAATTGCCATCCCAGCATCGCGCATGGCACTGGTCGGCCGGGCCAGGGCATCGCTTGAGTCAGACCTAATTTGAAGTAAGTAGCTCTAGCAAATCTTCAGAGTTCAAGCCCTCAGTCTGCGAACGAATGGGCGACAAAAGACCTCTACCGTGATCAGCGTGGCACACTTTATGGCGGTGCAGCCCAGGCGCGGTCCAGGCAGCCCTCCTGCAAGCGTTTTAGCATTTTGAAGATCCTTACATAGCCATCACTGTCGCTCAACTCGACGATATTCCGCAGAACCCACCGTTCCTGCTGTTAGCAGCATGCGCATCTGCTTAGCAGGTGACGGCTTCGCCGTGGGCCTGGTACACATCTTACGCTGCGTGTAGTATGGCGCGCTCAGAGAGCAAGGCCCTTGCTCCAATGAAGATTGCCTGGGTCCCTCACGACTCATCCCGAGGGATATCATGGTCGTCTGCTACCTGCGCACACATACCCAGACTCACCGGACTGATGCGTGTCGTGGGGATGTCATGATCCCTTACATGTGCAATCCTTTTTAGCTTCCAAGTTGGCAAAAGGGGTAGTTTAGCAAATCGAGATGTTTATCACATAGTTCACAACTTGGTCACAGCGCTTGCTGCATTTATTCTCCTGGTGAACTAACTGGCCTCTGGGCCGTTTGCTGTTCAAAAGGCCATGCTGAAAATCGGCAGCTTGGGACACGCACCTTGAACCAGCACTGGTTGTTCAGCCGATCCTGGCCTTGGCTGGAGAAGTGCTTTGGGGGGGATGGTGTGCCTAATGAGAGCAGCTTCCCTCGACTGCCATCACACGCCACAGCCAACCCTGTTTGGGGACGGTCACGCTTGGGAACCCTTCACTGAAGCTCAAGAAGATCTTTCGCTTGGTCGACTGATGCATTCCCAAACTGGTAGCTGCTGGTAGCTTCCACTAAACACTCACCCCAAAAGGCATAACCTTAAATGTGAGGATTGCTTTTGACAGTCTTGTGATAGGGGCCCAGGTGAGTAGGTCAGAGGCAAAAGCTCCACACACTTTCTGAGGCCACGACCAGGTGCAAGGCCCCAGGTGGCACGATCTGCCTCCACAGCCTGCAACGAACAGGAGCGCGCTGGGTTTGACCTTCCCCCGGGTGGGAACAAGGGAAACCTTCTTTCTCTCGCGCATACTTCGGAGCTTATGGAAACCCTGAAGCCTATAAGGCCTTGCAAACCCAGGGGCCAAGCGAGTAGCCAAGGGAGGCACCTTGGAATCGTCGATGCTGCAAAGGATCTTCTCAGTGCCAGCATAGAAGTACTGGAAGACTTTGTGCAATGGGTAGCAATGCCCGTAGCCTGGGGTCTCAGGAAAACTGCAGAGTCAAAGTTTAGGTTTGGCAACTGCCTGGCCACGAGCGGGCATGATTAAGACCAAAATAACACAAAAATACACGACATGGGATATGCTATGATATGTTATTACGTCGTCGTTGCTTCCGCAACCACAAACCACCTGAAAAATGTCTCTGCTCGGGAATTTGAGCAGATGCTACTGGACGCAAGCCAAAAGTACATTCAAGGGACAAGCAGTCGCAAGTCAAAGCCTGATGGATGTGACATGCAGCTCTAGCCTGAGCCTCCCGTCCAAGCAAAAGGACCGCAAGGACAAACTGAATGGATAAAAAACGTTTCCGACATGCCACCACAAGCCCACCAAAGAGTCGGGGATTTCTCTTTAGACTCTTCTTGAGTTTACGTATTGATCCTCCAGGGCAGTAGCAAGAAGAGGCGAACTTGGCAAGTTCACTACTTGAGGATTCCATGCCCTCGCCACGCGATGTCGGATTTGCTGAGATGAGTAGTCGCTGCTGACTCGGTCTACGTTCTCGCGAAGTGACGTGAGGGGGTTCGAGCTGGAACATGTGTAGTTCTGACCTAGGAAGGATGAATTTCAGAAGGACTCCTACCAGTCCACTCGAAAAGCGACTGCAGCGGACCAGCATCTCTTCCGACTACATCTTGCCTGCGATCAGCCCACGCAATCACGCCAATTAGAGCCGCATTGTACTTGCAATCCTGAAACAAGACTTGACAGGTTCTACGAACATGACTACAAGCAATCGCACGGGCAGCAAAGCCGTTTTACATGCATTTCTGCTCAACTTTCCTGAAGCGGCTTCGCTGGCCGAACTGGGTGGAGCGCAAACTAACCAATGATTTGTTCATTCTCTCTTTCACTTTTTTGTTTTTGTCGGAGCTTGATCATCGCTCCAAACTGCAAGGTGCGGCTGGGCTCGCGGCAAACAGTTGGGACCTGGGCTGAGAAATAGACGGTCATGGAATGTTAATCACTGACACTTGGAGGTCGGCTGTCGGCAGCACAAGTGGGTAGAAGGGATTGGCGCCCTCACATATCATGTGCAGATATCAAGCCGTGTCCCCATAGCATGAGCTTGACGATGTCAACCTCTAGCCAAACCGGCCTTCTTGTGATGACCGACGTGTTGCCCAGCAGCTAGACCAGCAATGCCGCAGCGGCGATAGCAGCGCCTCCACATGTAGATTCTTGTTGGCCACTGCTTCAGGTCTACAGCAGAAAAAAGGATCCCTGAGGAGAATGCTTGACAAAGGGCAGCAGGTGAGCGCTGTGACACCACTGATTGAACGCCTGCCGCAATGCATGTCTGGGTACATGCTCTGCATGTGAGATCTTCAAATTGCCGCAAGATGAAAGCGCAAAAATTGAAGCACGCACTCCTAACACGGCCTCAAAATGATGCTTCAAGCCAAGCGGTGACTCGCAGCCAACTAAGGCACAGCACACCTGCAAAAAGGAGGAAGCCAAAACGCAGGCAAGGACCCCACGCTTCCTTGACCCTGGTCCAGGCCTGCACATTGTTGAGGAATCTCTTTGGCACTGCTTTTGAGCCTGCACATGTTGCTCCAAACGCAATGTAACCAGCATGGCACCGTCGACATCTGCAACACCCAGCAACTCTTCCTGCCTGATCTCGCATCAGCTTCAGCTTGTCTCTCGGGCTTGTCATCGTTGCTCATTATAGAATCCTCTCAAATTCAAAGGCAGGGGCGGCAATCATCAAATGTGCTCTGCTTCAGGTAACGTTGCTAGGAGAGCTGTGGTCCTGAGACTGGCTGCGCATGAAGCTGTGACTCCTGTCGGGCTATCAACGTTGCAGCCGGGGCAGGCATTGCTAGTAAGAGCACGCTACCGAAAGCGCAAACTGATGCTGTGAATTTTGTGGCGCGCAGCCACATCTGGGCCAGCGAGCATGAGCTTGCCGGTCTGACTGTGAGAATGCCCTGACCTTTCTGTTGAAAGAAGGTAGACAGGGTTGTCAGCAGGGTGAGAAATCCAATGCTACCAGGGTTTCTCTTCATAATCATACTGGATCGAGCCACCACTGATCCAAACATCTTGATGTGATTGGTGGGAGCTGCTGCTAAGGGTGCTGGTTTTGCCAGCCGCAATATTCCGAGGCACCGCGCCCACGTACTTCTGAACTCCTGGTACCATCGTCCATCTTACCTTTGCTGTGCTCTTGGTCTGACCTGGAGACTTGGAAGGGTCTGCTTTTCGGCGCATGCGCTCCAACTCGTCCACGTCCTGCTGTCTTTCAGCCTGACCGTATGGCTGCTGGCCGGCATAATAGCTCTCATCTTCATCCTCCTCCAGCTCATCTAAATCTATGTTCTGAAGGTCGGGCCCTGAGCCATAAATCTCTTCGAGGGCAGCTTTGGCCACCTCAGGTGGCATCACATACTCTCCGCCCACTGGCTGCGGCCGCGAGAAGGAAAGGAACTCGTTCACCCAATCATCATCCCGCGCGATGCTGTTGACCTGAGCGATCAGATTCAAGGACTTGCCCTTCTTACATGGTAGCAAGTGTTGAACGCCCAAACTCAGATGCCGGCCTTTTTTAACTGCTTGTTGATAAGCTTACTTGACAAACGTCTTGTTCCCATTTTCTTCATGTTTGCAACGTTCGTCATGATCTTTTCCTTCTTCCTTGGTGTCCATACATTATTCGTTGCAACTCAGTGCCATCCACCTACTTTGCGAGCCCTATGCACACCGCTATCATCTACAGGCAGCGCGCCAAGATGAAGTGCAAGCAGGCCACGAAAGTCTTTTGAGCGCTTGCAGCTGAATTCGGCCGGAGACCCGTCTTGGCTCTCGAAAGAACTGACCGGCCACGAAGCCCAGCTCATTCACACCTGCAACACCCACGCACCAGACAGGATGATCCAAACAAAAACGATGGTAGAACAGCATGGTCGAATTGGACAAGATACACTGGCATGCAAGGATGGCAGCCGCAGCCGCGCATACAGCCGGGAAGGCGCGGCAGCGCATCCTCGGCATTAGGGCCTCCAAGCCTCGCAGCAACGTCAGACGACGACCCGTCAACTGAATTATATCTGAGGCTTTACCCCTCTGCCTGCCATCGAAAAGGCTTCCTGGCAGGAAAAGCTTGCCACTTCGAGCCAAAGGGCCAAATGGATAGCTCTTGTGGAACGACATGAGCACACAGCCACTGCACATGAACAGAAATCCATCAGCTGAAGTGCTGTTGAATGCATCAGCACCTCATCGCGACCGACAGTGGGACTGTCTGCCTAGGTGTCCAAAAACTGAGGCAGCTGGCATCCCTAATTGCTGGGTGTCATTGGCGGCAACATGTTCCCATAAACTAGCATATGACAAAAAATCCCGAGTTGCTATCGGTTGAGTCGTACGTAACATACCAGTCTCGCAAATATTATGCAGAGACGTGCGAGATCTCAAGATCAAAGCCAACTGAACTCGAGCATATTATCCCCAATGCAGATTGCGGCCGTGATGCACATGGCCAGCAGCTCGTCCTGCAGCCTTGTCAAACGAAAATCTGCAGGGCAAAATGCTATCATGCAATAAGAGATTCGCGCTGTTTCCGAGAATCGAGCCGGACGGGGTTGCAGGGAGCCCCTCTCGTCCGCAGCTGTTGGAGCCCTCGGAGCAGCGGAATAGTCAGGTTGGTATTGCTTTCAAATGCTTGCTCACTGTTTGTGCACTCATACCGGTGCCTGTAGTCACTGAAAAATGGCCATAGCATCTTCACGCGAAAGCTGGCGGGCCTTCACGAGATTCCCTGAGGCTGGTGCATTGGAAGTGGCAGGCGAAGCATATCCAATGACTCATCATGGAGTCCACTTGTGAGCCCATCGCCCAGCATGCCTGCTACAGCAGGCAGCCCACATGCTGTTGCACAAGGCTCTCGGGAGCTTACGGTAATCAACCACGGTGGTTGCAAAAAAACTTCCTGCAATAAAGGGCAAATAATTTCGTGCGTTAACAGCCACACGAGCCGAATGGCGAGTTGTTCATCGAGAGTCACATGCCGGAGTCTTTGCAAACCCTAGCAGCCTAGAAGCCTTGGCACATTTGTCTGATTGCGTGGTGGTTTGAATAACTGCGGCTTCCAAGTGACCAAACGCCTCGGAGAAGGCTGGCCAGCAGCATGCCGTGCCGACTGCGCGAGTGCCTTATGGCGTGGCGGCGAAGTGACCGCCACAGCACAACTGGGCAACGGGCACCTGGGACCTGAAAGTAGCGCTCTAAAACTCTAGGAACTTGGCATGTCCATGCGGTGGAATTCACGATACCAAGGCCTCAGCGGCATCTTTCAAAATGACGGCGTGGAAGTCAAAACTAGAAAAGTCCGCTCACAATCATATGGCAGCCAGGCCACATCAACCCCACGTCCCACTGCTTGCAAGCGGGCTCAGGCAGGTTCTGGTAGGCTGCAGGGTCTATGCCTCGCTCCAAGACTGCAGGCACTGCAGCGTGGGCACGAATTTGGCATCATTGCCATAGCATCGGAACTTGTCAGACCAAGTTGCTGAAATGAAGGCGGAGAACCTCCAGTTTCATTCATAGCAAGAAGCAGCAGCATCAAGACTGCATGCTCCAGAGGTCCGCGCAGATTTGGCCATGTTCAATCCACCAGACCTCGGGCCGTCACGAAAGCCAGATGGCATTTTGATTGTCCCACAGAACCTAAGCCTTTCCGTCTACAACAGCTCAAACCAAGGTCAAGGCATCAACCCTACAAAGGTGTGCAGCAAGTCGTACCTGGTTTCTGAGCATGTGTGCGCATCATCATTTCAGATTTGATTATATTTTAAGCATTCGGCTCGCCGAGGGCAGACAATGCCTGTCGCACTTCCTGTGCCTCAGCACCTGGCAGCCCATTACTCTTCGAGGAGACAGCAGTCAGCCTCAAGTCTTCGAGGCCATGCCTGCGGTCACCATGCTGTCTCCCTGTGAGCTTTTCGCCTGAGACGCAATGCAAGGCTGCTGCAAGGCTGCCGGAGAAGACAAGTTCGTGGTGCTTTGCATGCTGCTCAAGATGGGCACCTGCTTGTCCTTCTTGCCCAGACCCTGCTGCTGCGAGGCGTGTATGTATTGACCTTGGGGCATAAGGACGGATCTCTGCATAAGTCTAAACTCCATCATGATGTTGGCAACGTACTGTGGGCATGAACTTCTGCCGTAGGCCCTACGCTGACGAAGCAACCAGCAAAGGATTCTACCAGACTGCTTCTGAGTTGCCGCAGGTACAGCGCTGCCCAGGACTTGTTTTCTCGCTGCGGGGAGAAGGCCCACCTGCCGGCTTTGCCTTTTTTTGGGAGAGAGGAGGTCAAACGAAGCGAATATCTTTGGAACCTGCTATGTTTATCACAGTAGTACCTGACACTTGTTTATGCTTCTGTGTAGGAGGCATAGCAATGTCTTTACTTCCTTTCATGGTGTCCCTGCGAACATCGCACAATTGCTAAAAGATCGATGGAAGCACAGCCACGGCCTGAAAAGCCACCCATTTGCGTGTTGAAGGACCAAGACTTTCTGGAGTCGCTGTCCTGTGTCAATCACTTGTGCACTCACTCCTCTTTGTCTCAATTCAAGAGCAGTCGTGCGATTTCTGACCTACGCCCCACCTACAGGGTTCGCTCTAGCTTGCATCTACTTGGGTCACTGTGACCTGCTTTTCCAGCTTCGTGTATCTGTAGCCTTGTGTCGAACAAGCCTTCGCAGGCAAGGCTTCTACACTGAATCTTTTCTGAATGTCGGTCCCGGTCCATGCTTAATCTCTCTGCGAAAGCTTTGACATGTGCTGAGTTGCGAATGAACCTGGTTTCAAATGGTAGTACAGTCTACGGGAATTCATTCCTAACACTTCCGTAAATAAGTTTGTTGGTTTGAATGGCATCTCGGACTAGACTCACCTGTTCAACTTCAACTTGTTGGTTGTGGTAAACGCAGTGGCGATGCCTGAAATCGAGTGCGCGGAGCTTGCAACGCAAGCCAAGATGGACACATTCGATATGAAACGAGCTTTGACATGGCTTTGCCCTGCCGCTTTTGGCTTTGTGAAGTTATCTGCAGACAGTGTGATTTTGGGGGGCGTGCATTGGTTTAGAGTTTACGGTTCAGCAAGTTCAGCTTGATGGAATGCATTGAGGTCACAAACTGCAGCACTCCTTGTCTTGGTTCACATGGTACCTCAGATAAATTACACCAAACCCCCCTGAAGAGCGCAATCTCTGGACCTCATCGTCTCCGGCGTCAGATGCAACCTCAGCCATTTTGTCTTTGTACACGCTCTCACTTTCAGATCATGATGACTGCTTACAACATTCACGCTGAAAAACGCACAGACAAGCTGTGCGAGCAGTACATGCTTGACGAATCACTCAGCATCCCCACTTCCCACTTCCAAGTCGCCTCCGAGGGAGCGCCACTCTCCAGGCCACCATCCATGTTCGAGATCAGTGACCTGAACAAAGCACGCAAGCACAAAGAGTGAGACTGTGAGATCTTCACCTGCAAGGCATTCCCTGCAAACTTCTGCGGCCAAGGCATTGTTTTCTGGGAACTGGATCCTGAGTCGCCCAACAGAACATAAATTTGACGGCTTTCCTCCGCAAGAACCGTCAAGTAAGCTGCCGACACTAAATGATCACGGTGCAAACAACTTTCATACATCTCTCTGCAAGCTGACGTGTTGAGCCCACTGCGCGTCTGCTCATCGACAACATCTCCTGTTTCCAGCTAACGCTTTGCCGTGGCATGTCATTCCCACCTAACCTGCATCTGTAACTGCAAAGTTGCTTGCTGTGCATGTGCGTATCAACTCCAACGGAAAGAAGTGCTCATTCGCCGGACACCCTTGGCCTTCGCCGTCCAAGTGTGATGCTGCCACGCTATTCTTGCTGTCGCCGCGATGCACTTGTCGATGGGCCCGTGGAGAAGTGTTCTTCGAGAGCTTAGCGCACAAGCAACTCAAGCAGGCAAGCTCGTTTGCTTCCAGAGAAGCCGTTGCTGGCAGGACCCCATCTCTTGGAAAGGTAAGGCTCAGACTCTGTCAGGCCCATGCGCTGGACACAGGAAGGCAACTTGCCTGCAAGAAGAGCCCTGTGCATACACAAATGGGACCATCTTACAGAGAAAGGATCTGTTGCACTCATTGAAGACTGCAAGCCCTGGATAGCAGCGGGTCGGGTGTAAACCTGCAGCACTGACCTACCCATGCCTCGTCGAGACGAATGGGGACAGGAAGGAAGCTTGCGTGTGAGGCACCGGAACTCCGATCTCGCACACCTGCTAGGCAGGAAACGCATGCTGAGCTGGCAGCTGGCACGCCCAGAGAAACGGTGTTTCACAGAGTAAGACTTGGGTACGTTGTTCCTTGAGTCGTAAAGGTTTTTAAAGGACTGCGTGCTGTCACAGGTGTAGGATTCCAGGCCACACTGTCAATAGCCCATCTTGCCTTGAGGCCGTTCCAGCAGTACCACTTCTCAGCATCGTTGCCTGTCTTGTCGGGTTCACTGTCGACGTTCTGATTGCCTGCGGCAGTGTCACAGCGAGCTTCGAGTATCGGCTCCCAACAGCCCAACATCTCAAGTGACTCTGCACATGCTATCATTACACAGCTGAACACATGGCAGAGGAGTACAAACAAGTGTGCTATTTGTGACGGCCAGCGGCTTGGGCTTGTAGTACAGCAACCAAGCGAGCAGGAATAGGTGTAGAGCCGCGCAGCCAACCTTACAAATTGAAGCACTGTGTCGTTCAAGCTTCTGTTGCTAGAGGGGACTACCTCCAAGGCATCAAATTGTCCGGGCTCACGTTCATGTACCCAATTATTTCAATCAATTGGAGGTGAGGGTCTCCACTTGACAACCGCATTTGTTGTCCTCGGAATATCTGGCAATATAGCTCTTGATGAGAGCAGGGCTGTTGACCTCAACTGCCATCATCAAATGCGATCACTTGACGGAGATCTTCCAGGAATCTGTCCAGCCGAGCGGCCCAGGCAAGAGGATCCGACTCCCGACCGCGATGCTGTGGCCGCCCGTAGAAGATGATGACAGCCTCGCCCCATGCGCCCAACTACAACTTGCATGGCCTTCTTCTTCGTCGGGTGATAGAGGACCCTACGGCCCTCTCAGCGCACAGCGCCGCACCCCGCAAAGGTTCGACTCAGGTCGGTACTCGTGAGGCCCGATGTGCATCGGAACAGGAGCCAGTTCGACAACCACAGAAGTCTAAAGAGACCTAAAATGCACCCATATACCCCAAATCTTCCCAGAGCACTGCCTTCCACTCCACAGCACATCCTACTCTCCGAGCTGCGACACTTGCTGGACCACCATGATGACGTTTCGCTCAAGGATAACCCATACTGAGCACAACACCAATGCAATACACCCCATGAGCGATTTTTCCCCCACTTGCATGGCCTGTCGGCCTGTCTTTTATTTCACTGTGCAGGAGAGCAACTGGAAGATCGAGAAACTCGTTCATCTCAAACACCTCAGCAAGCAATTAGGCACATCCTCCTTGATGAATGAATTCCTTCTTACAAGTCCAAAGAAATTTCTCGAGCTGGTACAGTAACACTTTTGGCAGGCATCCACTCGTCGCGTACGTTTTACTACGCAAGGAGGAGGAAATCTGGCTAAGGCGATGCAGCGGGATCTATCCCTCACCTCGATGTGAACTGCAGCCAGGAATCTGTGTGGCTGTCCGGCATTTCTGGGGCCTCAATGTTGGGAGCTCAGCAGGCGACTTTGAGGTGGCTCGACTTTTTGCAACAGGCCTTGTTGAAGGTGTACTGATCTCCGATGTATTGAAGCCTCGCTGCTTGTGGATTATATGCCCGCGCTTAGTAGCGTGCAAGTCGGCATTCAGCTGCTCGGTGGCTGAATCTGATGAGGCCAGCGCCATCGAAGGTAGGACGGCGTGGGATCAACACCAGCATACAGCACCTGTTGTCAGTCAAATGGCTTGGCTTGCTCCGCGAAGTAAGAGACGATGGCCTGTCTTTCTGGAGAGAAAAGAAGTGCCGACAACGCCACGAAGGAGTCAATGCAAATGATCGGCACCTGCTCCTTGGTGTTGCTCAGCAGCTCAAGTCTCGATTAGCTAGAAGATGCGGGAAACACTGCAGAGTTCTGGGTAGCGTTTACGCGTTTCACGCTATGAAAACGAACGCCGAAAAGATGATTTGAATCTGAACAGGTACTAGTGCTTGAAAACAATAGAAAAAAGTGCTTTGGCCGTTTACATGCCTTGTGGAATGCACGGAGCTATAGATGCTACTGCTGCGCAAGCAAACGCTGATTCACGCGTATTGTGGATGGCCAGCAGTTGCCAGGACTCTGGTGGATCTTCCAGCTTTGACACAACTCTGCGGCTTGCCAAGCTCTCCCGGTAATGTGAACCTGAGAGAATCAGGCCATAGGTATGAAGGCCGCGACTGGATGATGGCAAGAGGTACCCCTGAAACAAACATGAGAATTCTTTTTCCGCCGTTGCTGTAACCTGAGGTCCACGCCAATCATGAGCAAGAGCCAGTACACAGCATTAAACGGCTTCTCCTCGAGCATGCACATGCTCCCTTACAGTACCGCCTGTATCCACGAAGATTTTGTCAAGGTACAATGGCAGTTTTGCAGCGCTGACACCATCTTTCCAGTTCACCTCCGACGATGACTCTGTAGTCTGTGCTGCCGAAGTCCAGGTAGTGTCGCCTAAGGAAGGCTGAGCATCATGCGTATCATTTGGTAGCCATTTATGATGGAAGAAATTTTGAAGACTTCTCCATAGCCTGTAAAAAGCAGCTTCCATTCCATTTCCTGCGTTGTTTTTTTTATTTGACTCTCCATTGTGAGGGCGATAACCCTACAATTTATGCTATCCCCGTATAACCTTCATACCGATTTCTATATGTAAATACATGTGTGTGTGAAAGTGACCCTATATAATCTCTATGTACCTGATATTCTCAACAGAGATCTCCCCGAGCTCTTCACCAGGCAAGCTTGAAGGTGTGGAAGGAGCGAGGATCAAACCTCAGCTTCTGAACTCAGGATCAGTCACACCCCCCAAGCACTAAAGGTTTCCCATTCATGTAAAAATACTGCGCAAATTAGGGGTTGTGTAGGGGCATAAGGGTTTATAGTATCGCCACTATTTTGGCTACCACGATTCAATATAATTGATTCCAGCAAAGATTCCCCTGGTATCGTGGTACTATGTGGGAGTATTCACTATTAGGGGGTAACGTAGTAGGGTACAGCCTGTCATCACAGCCAGGGAGCTGGAACATGGGGCGGAAGAGCTGCTTTGGCTCGATGAGCAGTGTGGTCACTGGAACTGTGGGCCTGAGGAACACACTTTAAAAAAACATAATAATAATGGTGGTAGTAATAATAGCAGTAGTCACAATAGGCTTTGTTTCTTGATGAACAAGAAGGAGGCGATTGTGGTTGGAGGATTTTTAACACTTGGGGATGTCGATCTTCAGGTTCCTAATCCTAATGGCATTACTGGGTTTCAGCCTGAAGTGTCCGATACTGACTCCTCGAGCCTACCATGGAGAAATCACTTCAGGCTTCCTTGTTCTTCTTCTGCGGTCTTGCGCGTGCAGCCTTTATTTTTTGCTTCTTCTTCTTCTTCTTCTTCTCGCGTTTTTTTTCTTTCTTTCTTTCGTTCAGGCTATGGGATGGCGCTAAAGGCCCTCCCGGGCTCCTGCCCAGCCCGTGTTGGGCTTCTCGGAACTACACCCCCTTCTTCTTCTTCTTCTCACTGCTCTACCCTCCCCTGAAGGAGAGGGCCGGGGCAAAGCCCCAAGCAGGACAGTCCGCATGTACGAGAACTGCATCAGGAGCCGATTACCGAACATGTGCAGGCCACGAAGACAGCAAACAATACAACTACACCCCTCTTCCTCGCTCTCTTCTTTCCCATGCACACTTACATGGAAAACCCTGGCTTGACGTATTAAACATGCAGCAGGCAGCTGATAAACAAATGCGCAGCCGGGCTTGTGCACAAATGACACCACACAAGACGTCCTGCAGGTTGCACAGCATCCCAAAAACTCTCAAGATAGCCGTCTGTCTGTACAGCGGTCCTCGACTTCTTGATTTCATTCTCCCAGCTGTGTTGGTACCAAAGAACGATGGGAAAACTGATATGCAGCCTGGTCATTGCACCAGCTACAAACATCCTTTGCTTTCACAGCCGTTTAATACCGACAGCCAGGATGCAAACAAGCTCATCAGCCATTGCTGAGGCTTCAACCTGCCACCATATGCTCCGGAGGACCTGTGAGCGGCATGTCAAGCAGGACAGGCTTGCAGGACACACCTCACAGTATTGTAATCTGATGCAGTAAATCTCAGGAAGGGCAACCTGGACATACCTGAAACAAGAAGCCATGTTAAACGGACACCAGCAGCTGCTACTTGTACTATCAACACAGCTGAAGTGTCCAGGCTTTCGGACCCCAACCTTTCCCATGTGAAGTTTTGCCCGCCGGCCAGGCTTCGAACTCGCTCCATTGCCTGTTGCGACAACATGCTTGGCAGCTTGAAATCAGCTGCTTAACTTGCAAAAGCAGGGCAACTCATGGCTGGTCATGATTTCAGCGCCCACCTCCGATAGCGGCGTGGGGTTGTTCTCCACGTTTACTAGTTCCTGGAAGGAGCAGAGAGGAGCCTGCCAGAGACAACATCAGTACAAACGAATCCGTCACACTGCTTCAACACTATTAACCACTCAGTGGGATGTTAACTTGTTCACGGCGGCCCTATGCCAATCAGGTGTCAGCAGCATCCAGCATCACCCATCACTCTGCAGCTCCATACCTGATCTATCGCCATGCTATCCTGCTAGCAAGAAATCAGGGGCCTCGAACGGTTGGGATTGCCACTTCCAGCGTCCGTGCCCTCTCTCTCGTCGCTGCGCTGCGAACTCATGAACCTCCATTGGCAAGCCCTACTGTGGAAAAATATGCTGCAGAGCAGTGACGGGCCATCCTTGCAAACAAGCTGCCGGTGTGTCCGGCTTCTGCGCAACTTCCGCCTCCTGACCACCCTGGAGTCATCAGCTTATCGAATACATAGCACCATGAGGCAAGGCTTGCGAAGCCTTCTCGGCTTGTTTCGTTGGGCTGCGAGCTTTGTCCTGCAGCTGGAGGGCCGCGCCATGCAGCCAAAGTGCATGAGTAGCACATGTAAGCACTGCCATGACTTGGAGCCGCCCGGCTTTGCCCTTGCCTGGATACGGCCATCTGAGCGCTCTTCGGTAGACTCCTTGTCCTGACACACTTGATGCTATGGCACGAAACGTGTAAAGCGTGTGAAAAGCTCCCTAGAACTGCGCCACTTCCAGCAAAAGTGCAGCTCACATCTCTGATCATCCATCGCCACACTTGGACTCCTTGTCAGTAGGACGCGATCCAGAGGTCATCGCCATACGTTCAGCCACGGACAAGCGCCGGTTGCCACCAGTTGTTGTGTCGGTTGCGCCTGCAACCTGAGAGGAAACGGTGTGGCTGCAGTCGTTTGGCCAGTTCTGCCAGTCTTGCCGACAACAAGCAACCATCTGTGGCGGACATATGCGGGAACGTTGGCTGTGCTGTTTGAAACTTTGGCGGGGGCACATTTGCAGCCAAGCAACCGCACTTAAAGCTGACTTGAAGGCGGCAGCTGCCTTGACGAGCGCAGTTTGAGACCTATGCCCCTTGTGTGCATTGCTTGACTTCCGCCGTCCACCCGGCTCTGGAGTCCCTTTCCGCGACGAGTTCGCATCCGTCAAACCGCTCCCGCGGCTCCCGCGGCTCTGCAGCTCGGACTCCACAGATGGTGATGCAGAACGCCGGTCTGTCACAGCTCCGAGCATTTGTGCAAGCTTCGATCCCTCGTCATCGCGAGCGACTTGCATGAGGGCTTTGACGGCCGTGAAAAGCGATTTCTTGCCACCTGCACCCCCTGCATTCCTCGGCATGACAAGGGAAATTACAGAAGCAGGAGTGGCATCCACACGAAAGCAACTTCAAAAAGGGACCTCGGCGATGATGGCGCTGAGGGTGTTGAATCTTTTGGTTTCCTTGGCTGCAGGCAGCACAGGGCTGTCCTTTTACATGATGCCACTCCCTGTAAGCCTCGGCCAGCCTCGGCCATCATCAGCCTACAGCCAAGGCTGCCAAGACTCTGAGGTTCCTCAGCCTTCTCGGCCTTTATCTCTTCCTGAGGCTCCGTTTTGGCCTCTGGCTTCGCCTCTGGCTTCGCCTCTGTCTTTCCGGGCTTTGCTTCGGTCTTCACTTCTTGGGGCGCTTGCTGCGCATCCTCTCTGATCTCCGTCCAAGCGAGGCGGCTTCCTTGATATAGCTTCAATCTGTGGCTCGCATTATCCCCTAAAACCCTGGTGAGAAGCCAGGCGAGTATCAAGCTGGCAGCCGTTCCTGTTGAGACAGATCTCAAGTACTCAGGTTCCTAGCATGTAAGAAGTCCAAGTATCGCCGCGTAGATTCCAGTGTCCGTCGTGGAGGCCGCTTCGGACGTGCCGTGGCTGGGGGCCGGCGCGGCACCTAAGCGTAGAGCTCAAAGCAGCTCCCAGGTCTGGCGGTAGCTACAGGCCGCTAACTCAATAGCGAGAAATGCGAGTCCTGCCTCCGGCTTCCGCACCTCGTCAAAGGGCGACTGCTCTGCAGGTGCTGCCAGGGCAGCCAGCACCTCCTCGAAACATCAACGAAACACAACGAAACCATGTCTGACAAGCTCAGGCATCTGGAGATGCATCTCGCTGCATGTAGCCGACACAAAGAAAAACATTGGCATTCATAGACAACTTTCATCTCGGCCGCGCTGACGACTGACAGGTGAATTGAGTCTCTCATCCCCACAACATGTCAAAACTCCTTCATCCATAACTTTGTTTGCTGCGTGGTTACCTTCTGGATGACTTCAGGTCATCTTATGCTAAGCGGTGCTGAAGATTTGACCCCTGCCTGACCCATCTTCTTGGCTTGGCTAGCGAAATCCACTCGCCAGGTGTCCGAGCCGTTGGAGTGCTGCAGGGGGCGGCTTGTGCTGTAGAGTTCGGATGCAAAATTCATATACGATTTTGTGTTGTTTTGCCTTGATTTTTTTGTTTTTTTGGGTCCCGGGCATTCTGTAGACAAAAAGGTGACCCTTCATTTCCTTTGCTCAGCCCATGCTGCCTGCGTCTGCTGTGCAGAAGAAGCAAACGAAGCCTTCCGATGAGCAGCAAGAGATGTTGAGTAGAATGGTATCTCCTAATCTCTCCAGCGGCCAAGCAGCAGTGGTCGTCTGCATGGACAGCGGGTGCTTCCTAAACTCCTGCTAGTGGAGAACACCAAGTCGAGGATCTCGAACAAAAGATTGACCAGAAGATGCCAGAGGCCCGAACGAAGGAGAAAACAGCAAGAGCTCCATGCAATGTTGCCCGCATGTTCAACTTACAAGCACATGGCGGGAAATATATCTCTCAGAATGGCAGCATCCTCCTCTGTAAGCAGCGATGCCGCTGCTCTGATTGGAGTCGAAGGTTGGAGGAAAGACTCCCAGCCCTGCGAGCACAGCAAAAACAAGCGCAACCTGACATGTGCCAGATAGAAGGGTTTGCCCAGCCTCTTTCCATCGGTTTGCAGCACTTGCCTGGCGACTGCCCGAGCTGCCTGTGCAAGAGGTCAGCTTGCACGTGAGAAGCACCAGCTCATGGAGCTTGGTCCTGTCCCATGGAAGGTCTTGGCCAATGGCTCCAGCCGCGCACTCCTTGCGCTGTTGCTGGGTTGGTCCGACCTAGCTAGCAAGTAATCAGGTGAAAGAATGTTCTGCCAGAAGCCCTGCTGCACCTCCATGTCGTCTGAGGGTCCATACCAGGCTTGCCTCAACTGATGGCATCTCCCATTCTTAGCTTGTAGGAATCTTCCCTGTGACGTGCCAATGAAGGGCCCGGGCCTTTCGCCTTGGCTATGTGATTGAGCTGCAATTCAGCTCCAGTCGCAAAGCCCCCTCACTTTAAGCGAGAAGCCATCTGCTCTATTCCTTTGCTTATCACTCGACACAAACATGAGTCTAGCAAGAGTTACTGAGAAATCCATGTAGCCAGTCTCTCGGAGTGCCAGCTTGCAGGAGACGTTTGTAAGAATTGCTCCAATGAAGGGACACGCAGCCCGTCTTTCCTCCTCGTGTCCAAGCCCATGTTATGAGATTTTGGGTATCACCTACTTTCTGGCCCGAAACATCGTGATCAAATAATATAGCCTAGGCCAGCGCAGCCTTGGGCCAACTGTCAGCGGTACAACGCAAGATCGCAAAGCTCAGTTGCAAGATGCTTGCGCATGACGTCGATAAAGGAGATTCTGCAACACTTGATGCTTGCTTCCCTTTTGCAATCGCGTTGGCGATGCAACTACGTCCGAGGCTTGACCTTTGGCCAAATCCTCAACATTTACCAGCCAGCATCTGAACGCAGTTGCCGCTGTGACCCCTGCCACGCAGCTCTTCTCTTCTCTCAAGGACGAAAACACCAAGAGGTCGATATTTGTCAAAGTCTGGAGATCCAAGCCTATGATGTCGTTGAGGAAACTCAAGTGCACCAGGTTGCACGTGGCCGTGCTTCTCCCATTAAGTCTATGGTGCATGAGAGCAGCTGAGCATGCATGCATGAGCCACAGGACAGAGGCAATATTGTACAATGGCGGCCGTGGCCTTTCATGTAAAGTCGTAGACCTGTCTATAACTATGCAAGATTTGAACTTCAGTGAATCGCTCTAACTTGATCAAGCAGGTCAGCAGACTGGGCTCCGACAGCCTGTGTGATCATCTCACTGTGATGGCCAAATTGCCCACTCCATGCGGAGCTGCAGTGGCTCTGAATTCCATCCCTAGGGGATCATGCAGGCACAGCCTCCTCCTGGCAGAGTACGAGCTGAAAAGTCAGGCTTCTCCCACGACTGGCAACTTCAAGCTTGCGCACCAAGGTTGGCACAAGTCTGTGCGATTGCAGGGCTCTTTGGCTGAATCGGGGGCAAGTAGTTCCTGCGAATCCACTTAAACTTGAAACATAAGATAAGAACACAACTTCTGGGTCGACAGTCAAAGCTTCCGATTGCCCAGTCCCGTTGCCAGAGTTCTGCGGCGATTGCCTGTCAAAAGTGACAAGAACCCAAAGCTTGTGGTGGCGAAATGCACTGCCAGCAAAGTACCACATGCATAGAGAAACAAGAAAACAGCCTCCTTCGGCAAAACATAAGACACTGGTTGGCAAGAACGCGTGGGAAGCAATCATTTTGGCAGAGCAGTTACGGCACAGACCCTTGAGAGGGAAGCTAGTGTCAGGATGGGGAACCCTTTCTCTTGCAGCATTATCCCGGACTCCCAAAGGACCTACTGCAATCGGTGCAACATGAGAAAAGCGACCTTGGCCCCTTCCCAAAATGGTGAAGCAAGAGTCTGGGGCTGCTGCAAGCCCGGATTGGTTTCAGGCCTTGGTGGAAACAGGGGCCATGCAGGGGCCATGCATCGCAGCTCACCCAGACTGACAGGAATTTGCTACAAGCCCGACACCAAGGGCCTAGTCATTACGTAGCAACATCGGCCTTTGCCAGCACTGGCAACGAAATCTTGCGATTGAGGGCTCGGTATGCTTACCATACCGTGCCTGAGGATGGTGAAACAGAGCATCTTCTACATCCACCTGCATATATACAAAGAGTGACTACACCCATCAAAACCAGCTTTCTGCACAAAAATGTGGCACACCCGGAGGCTGAATCTTCAACTACAGGTCCAGGGTGATCTTTTCGTCGTTGCGTTCTTGAGGTGGTGTGGGAGGTGCTTTTTGCAATCTTTTCAAGGCAAGGCTTCGACGCTTGGCTCGCCCTCTGCTGCTGTTGGAGCCTCTGCTGCTGTTGGAGCTTTTTGAACTAGTGGATTTTCTGACCGGCTTCTCGACGTGTTCCATGCAACGCAAAGTGCCTACCAACGTGCCAAGAGCTGGGTCATGTTCCAAGTCCAGAATTGCCTTCAGCGTGCACACGCCGAAAAGGTTGAAGCTCCCTAGCACTCGCTGCGCCTCCTCCGGCAATGCCTTCGTGTGATCGAAGGAATTCACTGCTGACTGTATTCGCCTACTCAGAGAGGTTACACCAACATCCGGCGACAGATCGTAGATGCTCATTTTCTCAAAGTCAGAGAAGTGGCCAGTGCACTTAGCAAAGAGGTTTTCAAACTCATCACTTGCAACCAGAATTTCGAATGTCACAGCATCGAATACGATCGAATAGTCCACTGCAGAGGAGTCTTTGAACACGGCGCTGTCTGACCGAAGGGGAGCTACGGTACTTCCCGTGAAATCTGGTGACTCCTTGACACCAACCAAGCGGCAACACGCTCCGTCGCCCGCAAAAAAAGTTAGCTGGTGCAGTTCCACCTTGATTTGGGTCCCGGCAGAATCTATGAATTTGGTAATCATTGTTGGATTCGGGCCTCCGGCACACTGCAGAAAAGACTCCACCCGATCACGATCTTCACTCACGACCTCACGGCTGTCTACAGCAAACTCAAAAATTTGAAGACAGCTTCCTGTTAATAAGATTGGTATCTGTTAAGCATTGCCAGAACAATACCAAAGAAAGATCTTGGCTCAATCACAGGCCAGGTACACAATCCAAAAAGTCAGATCCTGCCATGGTCGCTGCAGAATTCTCACAGAACAGCATTGTTCCCAGCTGTGTGGAATCCTCCATGAGCTTGAACGACGAGTCCACTTCCACTACACACTCACAAATCCCATTGATAAGGGCGGCTGCGGACTCCATGGAGACCCGCTTTGTGTCCAAGTTGAGGTGCTGCTCTGCGACGACGGAGATGTGACGCTGCAAGGTGCAAGTCAGAAGCATGAGAAAAACGAGAGATCCAGATGCCGCAAATATCATGTTCGGATCTCGCCACCACAGGACACCGCTACACAGGCAGTGTCCAACAAGTGCCTTCCAGCCATACTGAACCCAAAGGGCAGAGACCAGGCGGGGTATCAGCAGCGTATACACCACGCTTTGTAGGTCTTCCATTTCAGAGAAATATGTCACCACAGCACAGAGGAGCTGCACAACAGCGTGCAGAAAATCTAACGCCAGTGGCGAAGCCTGGTAGGGTGTCAGAAGCACAGTTAGCAGCACCGCATATGCCACAAGTAGAGGAATGTCCACCGCCAGATACACTTCATCAATATTCGCGGCCAGGCTGATCTGTATGCGTACAAACCGAAAAACAGAGGATGCCAGAAAACATGCGGAGCATGCACGAAGAATGTTTCGCTGTATATTTCGGTATGCTTTGATGTGCTTCTTTGTTCCAGACACCTTTCCCAACCACTTTTCAGACTGCGCCAGGAAACGGCGACACTCAAGTGCCACACAGCTCCGGCTCTGCCTGCAGATCTGCCAGAAAAGCATGAGAAGTCTGAGAACTGTCAGGACCTGAAGCACTGCTGCGATGCCACTGATGGCAAGCGCTGTATTTGTGACGGCCATTTATTCTGGGCTGCGTGCGCCTGGCAAGGTCAGACCCATTTCTTGAGCCCCCCGAACATATAATCCATTTACCCTGACCCGGACGACTATGGACTACTTCTTTCAGCAGCACATCCCACACCAAGCAGAAGTGCTGCAATGAACTTACGCCCTTGAACCCCTCCTTGAACAGCTTCTAGGCAAGCCAGCTTGATAATTTAGATAACTATACTTCGCTAAAAAGCCCCGTCAGGAGCCAAAACGAGCTTGGCACGCGACTCGTTGTCCTCCAGGGCCTCTGCTTTTCTGAAGGTAGGCCTGTGGGCGAAATGTAGCTAGGGAAGTGCAACCAGAAAGAAGCCCAAAAAAACATCTTGCATCGTTCTTAAAGGTAGCTAGCGGGGACGGAATGACACAGACATGTGCGTAGGTGCGCTGCGCACTGGCTGACTGTTGCATGCTCTTCTTGGCGGGCTCTGCCGCCGCCTGCGGGGTTACCCTGGCACTGAATGCAGTCAAGGCGGAGCAGATTTGGGAATACCACATCACCAAAGCTCTGCATGCAGAGACTGCTGCTACAATTGTCAATCAGCTTCACCTGCGGCAACTGTTGTCAATGTCGAGCGCGGTAACCTGCTGGGCTCCAGTCTGGCGCAGCCCACGGCAGCTCAGCAGAGCATCCCTCCACGCCTTACAGCGCAGCTCTTCCACCAAGGATTTGTGAGTGTCCTGCAGCTCCTGCACAGGCCATCTGAGATGTGTCGGAGGTACACACAACTCCATGCATTGCAAGTTGCCTGCACCATAGCCGTCAGATCATTGACTCGTTCTTGCGTCTGCTGCAAGGCCTGTTTCATTTGTGTCACATGCAGGGAGGGTAATGCTAAATCTCATGCACGTCTGCGATGCGCCAAAACTGGTCACCAGTCAGAATCCTTGACACAGACACTGAGCGCCAAGCTTTCTCTCCCATGACCGTTTCCAGCCGCCCCTCTTCTTTGGAGAGAGCCATTCTTGCCTGGCAACCGTCAAGCTGAGGGCTCAACGCTTTTTGGAGAGCTCCCCGGAGTACTTGAAACACGATGCGCAAGAAACAACTTGCAACACTGCTTTGATGCTGGTCTAAAGCGGTAGATTGACTTGTCGGCTTTCAGTGTTCACTCTTTCCTTGAAATCTTAAATTAAAGCGTGCAGTTGTGCTTGAGGTTTGGCCGCATGCAGCAGATGTTTCATTGAGCCTCTTCAGCTTTGCACAGCCCAGGAAAATAGGAACGCTTGTGAAGTCGGTTCAGATTGCGTCGCCCATTTCGCTGCTTGCATGGCCGGCTATGCTTTTCAGGCAGCCTGGGTAGACTGCAGCTTTTGCAAGCGCAGTATGTGCAGCCACTCATGTCGCGAAGAACCCGACATGTATTTTTGCGTAAGCTGCGATGTGTTTTGGCTTATCGTTTGCTTCTCAGTCATTGTGCAACCTCCCCACAGACCGCACGGAGCAGCCGGGCAATCCATCAGAAACAATGCTCAGCACTCATGGAGAAGCTCGGACTCCAGTAATAACCCATCACCGCGAAAACATTCAGATTCTGCTTCGGAAGGCATCCAAATATCCAGCACTCCATTCAATCTCTCCAGATTGAGCTCTTTGCCATCTACTGAAAAGAAGTTCAGGCTATCCCTGAAGCCATCCCAACAGCAGGACCTGCGTCAGCGTCGCATCCACGCCACGGATGTTCTCCTGTCTCCACAAGTCATCAGACACCGCCATTGGAACTTAAGGGACAGGCTCGAGCCTCCAGGATCTTTTTAAACCTTGGAGACAGCAGACACGTGTGCAAAGAGCAAGGAACAGATACTTAGGTTTCCCAGATTCGGGGCTTTTGGGAGGTCCCCATGATAAGGATTATAATGCTTGGGCGTCTACACTGAGGCCATACCTTTTCTTGAAGCGGGTCTTGAGTACCAGCCCGACTACCATGCCTGAACCCAGAAATGTCACGTGCCAGCTGAGGCCTGAGCTCTCCCAGCTCACGGGTTTTCATGCCGAGCCTTGCAAAGGCGGGGTGTTGCCACTTGCATGGCCAAAGCAAGTTTCAAGCTGAAGGATGCCAAGCTGAAACATCCCACGCCCGATGCATCCAGTACATGACCACACCCCAGTGAGCTCAGCATCCGAAAAAAAAATGCAAATCTTCAGCAGAAGTCATGTCAGGGCTCGCGGTGGCCATGGAATTTTCTTGTAGCTGGCTATGTCTCAGATATCAACCAGGAGACCCCAATTATCCTTCAGTTCGGTTGATGGACAAAAGGAATTCGGCTTACAACCCCTCGACAGCAGGAAGTGATGTCTCGCTACATAGCCAGGTGGGCCATCAATGCCGTCATCTCCTGGGGACTCACTTCTGTCCACATTCCCAAACCCTCCTTTTGAGACGGAAGTAAACAAGTCTCACACAAGAAGTGGGACCCACTGGAGTTCGCAGAGCCCAACCCCCGGATTGGAAAAAAGTTGGAGCCGGCAAGGCACAGCTGTGTTGTCACTGCTGGCTTGCTTTTTTGCTCCCTGCTGCCCCCATACCAGATGGACCCTCTGCTGCAAAGATGTAACACTGCAAGGTACATACCCCAAACACTAAACCATGAACTCTAAACCGGAATACAGGGTCCTTCTGGAAGGCCGCCATGTTTGCACCCATGGCATGCCAAAGTTTCACCCAAGTCCCGCCCTCTTTCCCAGGCGCCATCAACAACTCCGACTGACTTTTTTGAAAAGTTAGCGGCTAAAAGATTATAATCATTATAATCCATCATAGGCAGTCGTGCTGGGAAAGGAAAGGCGAATTGCCTTCCGCGACGTGTGGAAAGCTAGCCCTGAGGGTCCCCTTATTTCCCTCCCGCTCTGCCGTAGCTGCCATGTGACAAGCCGGCCCACTTCTTGAAATACTACTATTGGGGTATACGAAGGTTGGCGAGTCTTCAACCGCAAGCAGGAGACACATGGAAACTTGAACGCTCAGGGAAAATTCTCCAATCATCCAGGCATCAAGCACTGCAGTTCTCGCACTGATACTTTGGACCCTCGGCCTTCAAAGCTTCGATCATCTTCTTCTGGACCTGTGTGCCTTCAGAGTCGGAGCTCGCCCGCTGCTTCAAGGTGTCCACGTCCACCGTAAACTTGATAGCATCTGCCGCCGCCTTGGTCCTCAGGTAGTAGAGGCCTGTCTTCAGTCCGAGGTTCCATCCATGAAAGTGCATCGAAGACAGCTTGGCAGTAGTCACATCAACCATGTGGATGTTCAATGACTGAGACTGGTCAATGTAGGCTCCACGGTCTGCGGCCATGTCTAGCACAACCCTCTGACGAATCTCCCACACGGTTTTGTAGAGCTCCTTCAAGTCCTGGGGCAAGTCCAGAGCCTGAACGCTTCCATTGTGGGCGATGAGCTTCAGTCGAAGCTCCTCACTCCAAAGATCACGAGCAATGAGGTCCCGGAGAAGATGACGGTTCACCTGCACGAACTCACCGGAGAGCACGCGACGCACGTAGAGATTCTGCGTGTATGGCTCAAACGACTCATTGTTACCCAGGATCTGCGCCGTGCTGGCTGTGGGCATTGGCGCCACCAAAAGCGAGTTCCTCATGCCGTGCTTGGCAATCTTCTGCTTCAGAAGTCGCCAATCCCAGCGCCCACTCTTCGGAGTCTTCTGCCACATGTCGAATTGCAACATGCCTTTGCTTACAGGACTGCCTTCATAAGTCTGGTAAGGACCCAGTCTCTCTGCCAACTCGCACGAAGCCTCACAAGCTGCGAAATAGATGGTCTCAAAGATATCTTCGTTCAGCTGCTTTGCTTCATCGCTCTCGAAGGGCAGCTTCATCATCAGGAAGGCGTCCGCAAGGCCCTGCACACCAAGCCCGACTGGGCGGTGCCTCATGTTGGACTTCCGAGCCTCCGGCACTGGGTAGTAGTTGCGGTCGATGACCTTGTTCAAGTTTTTGGTCACAACCTTGGTAACCTCATAGAGCTTTTGGAAGTCGTAAGTTGCGCCCTCCTCTGAGCTGGCGAAGCTGGGTAAAGAGATGGAAGCCAAGTTGCAGACTGCAACCTCGTCCGCCGAAGTGTACTCAATGATCTCTGTGCAGAGGTTCGAGCAGTGGATCGTGCCCAAGTTCTGCTGGTTGGACTTGCGGTTGGCGTGGTCCTTGTAGAGCATGTAAGGCGTTCCGGTTTCCATCTGGGACTCCAGAATTCGGAACCACAAATGCTGAGCCTTAACCGTCTTCCGGCCCTTGCCCTCTTTCTCAAGCCGCGTGTACATGGCGTCGAACTCCTCGCCCCAAACATCCATCAGGCCCTTGCCGGTGGACTTGTCAAAGACCTCGTTCGGGCAGAAGAGGGTCCAGTCTTGGTTGTCCTTCACGCGCTTCATGAAAAGATCCGGGATCCAAAGCCCATAGAACAGGTCCCTGGCGCGCTGTTCCTCCTTCCCGTGGTTCTTCCTGAGCTCTAGGAAGTCGAAGACATCTGCATGCCAAGGCTCGAGGTACATTGCAAAGGAGCCTTTCCTCTTGCCGCCTCCTTGGTCAACGTAGCGAGCAGTCTCGTTGAAGTTCCTCAGCATCGGGACCAGGCCATTGCTGTGCCCGTTGGTACCACGGATGTAGGAACCGCTCGCTCGAACGTTGGAGATCGCCACTCCAATTCCACCCGCAGATTTCGATATGAGCGCGCACTGCTTCAAAGTGTCGTAGATCCCCTCGATGCTGTCCCCCTGCATCTTCAGCAGAAAGCATGAAGACATTTGCGGCGCCGGGGTTCCGGCATTGAACAGGGTAGGCGTCGCATGAGTAAAGAATTTTCGCGACATGAGGTCATAGGTCTCCAAGGCAGCCTCCAGGTCTCCACAATGGATACCACATGCAGCCCGCATGATGAGATGCTGCGGCCGCTCCACAATCTTGTCATGGACCCTGAGAAGGTAGGACTTCTCGAGTGTCTTGAACCCAAAGTAGTCATAACCCAGGTCCCGCTTGTAGTTGACAGCGTTATCCAACGCCTCCGCATTCTCTGCGATGAACTCCCAAACGTCCTCTGCTAGAAGGGAAGCCGGTCGTCCCTGTTGGTCCCGGAACTCGTGCAGCACCTTGCAGGTCTCGTAGAAGGAGTCTGAGGTGTTCTTGTGCAAGTTGGAGATCGCGATGCGCGCTGCCAGTACCGAGAAGTCCGGATGCTTCTGGGACATGTATGCGCAAGTCTCAGCAGCAAGCACATCCACCTCGGCCGTGGCAATGCCTGGGTAGAACCCTTCGATCACCTTCTGCGTCACGGCTACAGGATCAATAAACTTGCTGTCCAAGCCTTCGCACAGAGGTTGAAGACGACGCGTGATCGCATCAAACCTCACGTCCTGTCTCTCCCCATTTCGCTTCAGCACATACATCTGCGATGCCATGGCTTGCGGAATCAGAAAGGTCGGATGCCAGGCAGCGGGATGCTTTCTGCAGGCCTGTGCTTGAGCCGTAGCCATTGAAGGCGATTTTGACCATTGGCATTTTAGGTATGCAGTGCCCGGCGCCTTACATTTGCACAGATCCTGTGAAGATCTTACTGATTTTGAAGTGCAGACCCTGCTGATGAGGAGGATCTGCACATCGCCCGAGGCAACTGCTGGCGAGCAGATCTGTGGGTACATTGGTGGGCTTCCTGCGACAGCGAGTGACCGCTGCATGACGCCAACTGTTGAAGCTAAGATGCCATCATAACTTTGTCAGAACAACGTTGGAATCTGAAACCAGCAAAACACCTATATCAAGTCTCCTGTCGGATGCGATGAATTGTCGCATCTGCCTTGTCGGGCAGCTCCTTCCTGAAAGCAGCGGGCAAACGACGAGGCAGCCAACTTTGCGAGATCTCTGAATCCCTTGGCAAATCAGCATGCGTCTGGGCTTCGTGCGCTTTTCGGATGACCGAAATGGAGCGCTGCTTTAAGGATTTCGCCTCCTCCTCGGACAAGAGCTTGATCACCTACCAGCCAAAAAAATCAGCATCAGCATCTTCCAGCCGAAGACGGCCAAACGAGCTGAACTGGCTTTTGTTTTGTCTGCTTTTCAGCTTGGCAAACGAGCCTGGTGTGGCTGGGTGTTCTTGTTCTTATCCACCTGGCCACATTTCAAGCAAATCTGGAATCGCAGCACGCTCAAGAAGCTGGAGAGCCTCTGGCAATGATACGCTCGCACCAGTTGCCGCGCGCATTTGAGCCAATTCGCTCTCCACCTGTAACATGTCACAGCAAGCAGAAACATCTAGAATCATCAGCCCCAGGCTACAAAGGTCTTGCATACTCGAGATGATGTTGTCAAAGCCAACCTGGAGCCTTCGAGCTCCCGTATCCCGCGAAAGCTCTGCGCGCATCGCCTCGCTGACTTTTTCTTTACAAGGCGAAGCACATAAAGAGTATGTGAAGCACCTGTAGGTCGGTAAAAAACTGCTGCGCTTCTGCCTCCAAGGCGAGCAGGTCCTGAGGCACCAGACATGTGACAAGACCCAAACCAAGGCATGCAGTGACAATAGCCCGGCTTGTACACTAGCACTGCGCTGCAGACTCAGAAATCCCTGCGTGCTCTTATAAGATGTTCTATCCTGGTCATCCTAAGGCCCTCTTTTGCAGCAATGGCATGGGCCAATGGACGGCCTGGCGTGAGCGCTCCAGAACGCCTCGCTCGCGCTCAAGTGCCTGGCCGAGGATGTAGTTCCCTTAAAGGTGTCACTATGAGTCGCTTGAACAGGCATTTTGCCAAGGACGTCGAAAGTGTGGTGAACACAACAAAGCAGTAAGGAAGCCGTGTGAAACTACCAAGCAAAATTCTGTTGGTACCTTAACTATGGGTCAATACAGAAAGACTAAGTAAGGAGCTTGATGCCACCACCTGGCATTTTGTTCTGGGCAACATGGCGGGCAGATGCAGTGCGAGGAGTCCGTGAATGTAAGTAAGGGACTCCATGAACGGATCTCGGAGATCCTCTCTGACTCTAAGCAATGGTATTTCGAATTACTGGGGAGCACCTGAAAATTGGAAACACTCCGGCCTGCATTCCAGCATCGCCTGGATTATTGATTATTAGTGATTTTAGGTCTTACAACTTAGATACAATAAGCTCAATAAGATTGGAAAGCTTTCAGCTGAGCACTTTGAATTTCTCTCACTCGGGACATGTGTGAACCAAATCACATGTAATAGGGAATTTTGAGAATAAACGCGTCCAGAACGCCTCGAGAACGATTCAGAAATGCCTGGCAAACGCCTTGAAACACCTTGAGACGCGTCTGGAACACCTTCAGAACCTTGGGAACTGGGGAACGCCTTGAGAATAACATTTTTGCAGGCCCAGTCCGGGTAGCAAGGAACCGACATGGCCTCCTCGACGGCGTCTCGGAAGTTCTCTCGGGGCCTCATTTGGCTGAAAGAGCTTGAACCCAGGCAATGTGGTTTCTCCGTCTAAGTTGCAAGCGGTCGTCGCTCTCTGAGTTGAAGTCGCTTCTCGCAAACCTTTAGATCCGCGAACCTGCCCAAAGCAAAGTGTGCGTTGTCAGCTCGTCAGTGGCCGCATCAAAGCCTACTCGAGGCCTGGCATAACGCATATGAACCAATCGCGTCTGGCAACCCTCCACCTGAAGCACAGGGATTTGGACCGAGTGACAAACAGCATGCGAGACGCAGCCAGCCTGGGTTATAGCCTCTTCGATGTCCTTTATGCTTCGTTGGGCATCATTGATGACCTGGCACACTCTAGAACAAGGCCAAGACGTGAAACTCGTGCTTGCATCCACTGCGCTGCTTGCAAAGTATTGCAAGGTATTGCCAAGCATTGCAGAGCCAATCAAAGCCTACATTTGGAAGCGCCTCGGTGTGTTCGCGGACGCGTCCGCGAACTCTGCGCTTCAGCTGCTCTTTCCTGGCTGCAAAGCTGCTAAGCTGCAAAGCACAGAGCTAGGAGATACTGTGTTTGTCAACGGGATTTCTATGGCGAAGCCAGGGCGAAGCATGGCGATGCGTTGGGGACCTTGCTGTGACTCTCGACCTGCTTTGCTGGTACACGCTCATGAGATGTTGGCACAGACTCCCCGACTTTCCATGACTTGTGAGAGCGATGGAGCCTGAATCTAAAGCACGGATGTGCGCAATCTATCAGCATGAAACACAAGCCGGCGGTGCTCACGCTTTTGACCTGAGTCGCGACCAGATGATGCTGAAAGAAATGACAAAAGACCGGGAGAAAATTAGCAAACCTTGGGCACCAAGAGCAGCGGCGGTACTGGGGCATATTGTGGTATGAGGGTTGGAACACTTGACCGCTAGCAGCGAAAGCTCAGGATTCGGGCCACCTTAATATCTCTTGCATATCTGCGTTTTCTCAAGAGGAAGAGTTGCGGCATTGCAGATTCCAACCGCCTTTTGAGCTTTGAGCGCAGCAGGGTGAGTTTGCCACCAAGGTGCCTATGACTTTCTGCAGCAGCTTCACAACCTCTTTGATATCACCGGAGGAAAGGGGTTCTGGCCAAGTATCTAGCGGCAGTCTCCCCATCTAGATCTTGATCCGAATAGTTTCCGCCAGCATTTACGAGAAGTCGCATGATCTCGATGTGCCCGAACATCGATGCGTAGTGGAGGGGCTTCCGCAAAAGAAGATCTACAACATTCAGGGAGGCCTTGTGGTCCAGCAGCTGCTTGACTGAGCTACTGTGACCACTTGCTGAAGCCAGATGTAAGGGGGTCTGCTGAGCGCGATCCTTGACATCCATCTCAGCGCGATCTTGCAGCAACTCTGCTAGTATGTCGCTGTGCCCGTTTGCTGCCGCATGGTGGATCAATGTGCGACCCCAGCGATCTGGGGTTGCATCAGACTGGCTCAGTTGTCGGAGCTGTTTGAAAAGCCCCATCTCACCCGCCAGCACTGCCCAGTGCAGAGCACCTCGGCCATCATTGTCCCTTACCTGGGAAGCCTCTGCTTGTAGCAAGCTCAGTGCTCCTTTGGCACCAGACTCACGTGATTGTATCGCTACCAGCAATGGAGTCCTGCCCCATGCATCTCGTGCTGACAGCTGGGTGGACAAACCTGCACTAGGCGTGCCGAGCAGACGGCCTATCTCAGTGATCTGATTGGCAGCGGCAGCCACATGCAAGGCTGTCATGCCATATGCCTCGTCAGCTACAGCTGCGCTCTCCTGCCTGTCTTCGTGCGATGCCGGCATGGACGTCTGGCTGTACATGTGCTCAGACTCATCACCCAGCAAGTCGCCGTCTTCAGAAGCTTGCAAAAAAGCAGCCGCCCGGGTGTGGCCTGTTAAGTTGGCCCAGACGGCGGCAGTACGACCTTCCAGATCCACGGACTCAGTGGCACCAGAATCCAGCAAAAGCTGGATGAGCTGAATGTGACCGCGCCGTGCCGCCCAGTGCAGCGGCTGACAGCCAAACTCATATTCCTTGGCATCAACTGCAGCCTGTGCCTGCAACAGTTCCGAAGCCATTTCCTGTTCACCATGTAAGGCAGCCCAATGCAGGGGAGTCCAACCTAACTCATCAGGTGCCGAAGCCATTACAGCCCGAAACGAGTCGTTGGCCGACGCTAAGATCGTTCGCATCGCTTCTAGGTGACCGAACTCAGCTGCTTCATGAAGGGCTGTTCGGTCCCATCCATCTGCTGGTCGCACAGCAGAATCCTGGACGGTCGTCTTCCCTGGCCTGTCGTAGTTGCTCCGGCCATTCTCCCATTGCTGCTGCTCCTCCATGCTTGCCAGCGGTCCAGAAGTGCAGGAACAAAGGTCATGCAGCCCAAGGAGGGTGGCCCAGTGCCAAAGAAGGGGGCACTTCAAAGCTTGCATAATGCCTGAAAAGGGCTTCATCCAGAGCGAAAACTCAAGATTGTATCATGCACGCGCAAAACAGTCAATCGCTTCACTTGAAGATATGCCCCACCTAAAACGCCCTCTCTGAGATGTCCTGGACTGATGCCCGAAATCCAAATGTTGCTAGCAATCAATCACTATGTGTCATATGCGGTAGCACTTCCCTTGTTTTCCCTGGCATGCCTTGCCTAGCTACCCAACGGCCCTTGAAAAAGTGCTCGCAGTAGGCCCTGAATTTCCATCGGCATGGAAATCTGATGCTGTGAAAATAAACACCTGGCTAAGACTGACGCATCCTTCGTATCAATACTATGATGAAGGCTGTCTGATCATTGCTTGAGGCGAATCGAGCTCATTTCTGGGACTGCTCTGCAGGAATTCTTAAATTGTCATCTTCCCCGCAGTGTCAAATGTCAGAGGGTGAGCGTGCACGGGTTTAGCGTTGAAAGATGCGTAATGGTCGGGTTAAGATCGCGCGACATTGAAGTTTCCATCTTCCTTTGCTCTGAAACCTCTCAGAAGTCACACGAGCCCAAGCCCTCAAGCTCTCGTCAGCGCAAAATAGTGAGACAACTTGATGCTGACCGGTGTTAGCTCGATTTGAAATCTGCAAGCTGTCTGGGAGCACAACAAAACTTTTCTACCAAACAGGTCGCCCCTGGTACTTCCCTCGAGAAGAACGGCGTATGGCATCAACTGGTTTTCAATAAAACGTTGCACACTTCCCTGGAAAACATGACTTCCTTCGAATCCTAGATTGGGCATGAGGGCAAAGCAGTGCGTTCACTTAGCCTTGAAACTGCAAGAGGGGCTTCAGCTACTGTGATCTCACGTCATCATACTTCAGCGGATTGCTCCTTGGGTCCTGGCCACTTTCTTTCATTTCCTTGTTCATGGCATCGGAGGCCTCGTTAACCTGTCACTGCATTGATAATGCCTCGGCAATGCCTTCTATAGAATGCCATGCTTTGGACAGAAGCATGGAAGCACAAATCTTCAAACCTGCTTCATGGTGCTTCTGCTGTCCAAATGCTCTTTTCCAAAAATGCGAGGAGCTCGGGTGTTGGCTACGATGCAACACTCTGCGGCTCTGCTCTGCTGGCCTATAGCCTACACACCTACGGACCTACGGCTTGAAAAGATGGGAGCCGCTGTTCTGCAAGCTCCCCGCAGCACACTTGCTGCAGTAGACTTGGATAAAATCACATACACACTCAATTTGATTTGTTGCATGCACGCTCACATGTTGTGCTGGAACTCCTGGTGCAAGGAAGACAAGAAGCTCTACGAACTGCAGCGCCCCCCTGCCACTCTCAGAGTCTCAGAGACAACTATAAAATGCATTAAGTGCGAGAATGTGTGCTCGCCAGGTCTAACATACATAGAAAGCATCATCGAGTCATCATGTTGATGCCATGAACGGTTGGGGAGAAAGGTGCAAGCCAAGGGCCAGTGCCTGGAGTATCCGGACGTACCGCTCTGTCGTCTCCTGCGCACATGTCTCCAAGAGACCCACACTGCTCGGACACTGCCACCAGCCTCAACAGTTTGACGCTCTCTGCGTAGTTCCTCCACCTCATTCTTCCTGCGGGCTGACATGGCGTGTGCAAGCGTGCAGGTGATCATAATTTGCCATGCATGGGGGTTTCGAGAGCAGGTCTCTGGCTAGTGATTTGTGCTATCATCCCCGAGCCTGCACATCGTAGCAGCGCGCAATGCGGCCAAACGCAACTGAAGAGCATCAGCATCTGTCAGGAGCTGAAATGCTGAAGGTGCATGTTAACACGCATTGTCCCAGATTCCGAAAAAGCAGTCTTGCCGAGAATTCCTACAAGAAGTGCTGACTTTTCTGGCGTAGCCTTTGTGTCCGTGGCTCTCGCCGGGGCCAACGTCATGTGGACCATTGTTGGGGACATCCTGGCAGGTTTTCCCAACACAACACAAGAGAAGCTGATATGCTTCTTTTGGCAGCTCCTGGCTCTTGTGTGCTTGGGTGGCATCTGCCAATCCTGAGCAGAGAAGACGAATGTCAAGTTCATCAGGGTTTGCATGCGAAATTTGGCCGCTTGATGCATACAGTTTCGAGATGTTTCGAGCATCCAAGCCACTGAAAGATGCCCACGCCGAGGCGCGTGTGCCGCGCATCTTTGGCGCGGCTGGCCTGCGTACCGGCCATGCGCCCCAATTGTGCCAAGATGGTAACTGCTTGCAGTTCAAACTTTGAGCTTGAGGTCAAGCAGCCAAATCAGCTTCAGGTTTAACCTGCCAGTGTTTATTCTGCATGTCTCAGGCGATGCGGCGCCTCTGTTTCTGCTTCAAGACACAAACATGTTCTTTTCCTACCTCCAAAGGGCACTTGGTAATGAGAAGCTAGGTAACCTGTTAGCTGCATTGTCTTGCATCTTTGCCTCGATTCGCGCCTAATCACGCGCAACCGGAGAGAGTAGGAGTTACCAGGACCCCGGTGCTTGGTGGCTCTTGAGCCCGACAGCACTGCATGCGCAACATGTCGCGCCTGACGTCATCTGGCCTTGGGCAGTCAAGGTGTCCAGAACACTCATCACGCTCTCTGAAATTCAAGGCAAAAAAACTTCACAACCCCTCCAAGTTGAGGAGAAACTAATACGTTACAATACATAGCACGCGCACCTCTGCATAAACTTTAGTGCAGACGAGCTGCATCTCTTGTTTCTGCGGCACCTGCTCCTCGGCCTCAGCAACACCCATGAAGCCACAAGGCAATCATTGCATGATCATGAATGGTGGCGCCTGCTGCGCTCGCAGGCGGGACCAGGTCATGTGCTTGGCTTGTGGCCTCAAGCATTGCAATCACGGCGTCGGATCACTTGCTCCAGTAAGAGTATTATCTCGCATCCTGCACGGCGGCTCAGTTCCTGGCTCTGGCCCTGGTGCCGGAGCGGACATGGGATGCGGCAGGGCACGTGGTTGCTCCGCAGCCTCTACTTTGGGCTGGGCTCTGCCCGTGCTCTGCTCCTCCCGGTATCGCTGCCAGCTAAATCGCCTCGGCTACTGCACTGCAATGCTGAAAGATGCTGAAACAGGCACACAACAGTGACCGCACCTGGCCTGGGCCGTTCCTCGGGCTCCGCCGGCTTTTCTTCTGGTGGAGGCTGTGAACCTGCTTATCTTGACGTGCATCGCGAAAACTCTCTGAAAAATCTCTACTGATTGTTGTCAAGTTCACTGTCTTGCAGGCTCCATTTCTCTAGCCGCTTGAAAGAGCACATGTGCTCTGCATGTGCAAGCATGAGCACGCTCATGATGGTCCAGCATGGTCTAGCCTCGGTCTGCATTTGCCTTGGCCCTCGCTGCGTCGCGGTTGGCCGCATCGGCACGCAGCGCCGCATTTGCACGGTCTTCGGCATCGCGGGCTGCCTCTGCGTTTCGCCAGGCAGGCGGATGAGCCGAGCCTGTTGCTGCAGGTGGACGGAAGCTGGGTGGTGTCGGCGCCTCAGAAGGTTGGCAGGAGGATATATTGCATCACTGTACAACCCAAGATGTGACTATTTGACTGAAGTTTTACAAATCTCGCTGCCAAAGCCTTCAGATTTGTGGTTCGAAAAGCTGCTACACAGCAACACGGCACTGCCGGTGTCGCTGCAGCATGATCGTCTGTGTCATCTTCATCTCCTGCAAACACGCAAAATCGGATGCAAAGATTTGCAGGGACTGCTAGATGATTGGATCCGATAAATGGCCAGCAATAATTCTTCACCTGATATCCGTGGATTAAGCCGCGCCTGGTGCACGCCAGTCTGCAGGACGGAAATAGCTGCTGGTTTGAATATTTTCCAGCTCCTCCAGGTCTGAGATATCGATTCCTTCTGTCCAACTGCTGAGCGGTCCAGCACAGCTCATGCTTTCGCGAAGCCGTTGCACCACATCGCTGCGTGATGCACACTTCCGGACCCCAATGACACGTAGGAACAAGAACTCCGCGTCATGGATGTCACCGTAGAGTGAACACAGATTCAGATTGGTCGCCTTAGTCTCCTTCAACTCATCCTCCACTTCCCACCACGCCTCCTTTGTAAAGAGGCGCTTCGGTCTGTGACGTCTTGATGCATCAGGAGCCGGCAGCGAACTTGCCGAGCCACGTGCTCGCTGTGTGCCCTGCCTCCCTGGATTTTGATTGATGGGGTTGCTGCTCGCATTGTCAGCTTCCCTTCGCAGCGGCTGCTGCTCGCGAGTAACGTCCGGAAGTTGGAGTGGGGGCAGAATCAGGATTCGCTCTTGGCAGAACGCGCGACGCACATCTGCATGCCACGTGACTGAGCTCTTTCGGCACGACTGGGCCAGGCTAGCATAAATTCTACGTGCCAAGTCAAGCAGGCTGCCAGCTGTTGTCGGTGCGCGTGCAAGGCTATCGGAAGGAGCGCTGCTGGATAGCGATTCCTCCACATGCCTGAGCAGCTGGCAGCTTAGAGCAATCAGAGCAATTGCCAGAGCAGAACTGGCCTGTTCTTGTACCAAATCAAACAAGGAGCCCCACCAAGTTCCGCAGTGCTGTCAGCAAATGCCCTGGAGAGAAGCCCGGGTGCCTTCAGCATAGTGAACATCTGCGAAGTCTGCAAACTGCTTCTGCTTTCATGCATGGCCATGCAATGAGCACTTGCAAAGAAAATGGAAAGGGCTAAACATGAAAGAAGCATGTGGCAGTCACGTGCCTCTCAGGCATGCCCAGCACTTCGAGGAAGTAACGTCGAACCGTGGGCCCATATCTGGGGTAGTGCGCCTGCAAAGCCGGAACCTCTGTCAGCCACTGGATAGTGTCGTCCTCTTCCCAGGTACATTCCTCCAGTTGCCTGAACTCCCCAGGAGGCACGAAAACCAGCTCCGAGAAAGCTTGCCGGAGAAAGTCCGGAAGCACACTCTCACTGGACTCGGAAGCAACCTCTTTGTAGATATCCGCGTAGACCTGCACAGCTGCGAGGTAGCTAGCGCAAGAGAAGATAACGCAACCGGAGCACCTGAGGACCTGCCAGCCTCGATGTTCTCGCAGCGGCCCTCTTCCTTGAGCACGTGCAAGCTTCGGAGTAGGCCCTCGGCTGAAAGCTGCACCTGCCAGGGCCAGACGGCCAGACGGCTCAAGGGAGCTTCGTCTCGAAACACAGCACGTCAAGAAACCGAGCCTGCACCCCAAGTTGCTGCAGGCAGCCTCGCAACAGTGCATCCTCAGACTGCGTTGGCGTTGGCATGGAGCCCGCGGACCCCGGAAGCCGCACATACTGCAAATACTGGCCACCAAGCCGGCTATAGACCTCAGATGCGCAGGCCTCATTCAATGCTTTGCAGGTCTTTGCATCATGCACCGCATTTCAGTCCAAAGATCATCGTGCAGGAAGAAATCTCGCAAACGGATCCTGCGAAGCACTTTCCGGTCCTTGGTGTTACCTCAGCCCGTGGCAGTTTGTCCTGTATGAACCCTGTTACGTGAGACGCGATCAGACTTTGACCAAGACACTCTGGCAGCGCCGGGGTGCTACTACTTCAACAGAAACTGGCAGCGACTGGAGCCACCGCCTGTTTCCAGCGTCCGCCGCCTGACAGCGACGAGAAACGTAGGCCTGTGCTCTTAGCCCGCGCTTGAGGACGCCTGCCCACCAATCCTGACTGCAAAGGTTTGTACCCAGCCGCTTGGTGAGATCCTCCGCACGCTCTGATTCAGTGGGCTGCAACTCCTGTACGCCAATAGCATCCAAAAATGCCTCCCAGCCCAAGCTGTCTTCACCCCAAGTTTTTTGGGAGAAAATGTCTTGAACGACTGTAGGCTCTGAGGGCACCCAGTCTGCACCTGTGACGCCCAAGAAAGAACCACTCTGCAGCATCTTTGGCCGCATCAGGCTCACACGGAGTGTACCAGCCATGTGCTGCCACGTTGGTAGCCAGAGCCACGTCCCTAACTCTCGCCACCAAGCCAGTCTTGCTTCGGGATCTGGCTTTGGCAGCGCCATCGGCAAGTCTATGCCAAGCCTGGTTCCCTCCGGAAGTTCATCCGAAAGGAAGGTTTCCTTGAGGCATGCCAGGCTTGCAAGGATAGCTTTGACGGGCACAGGTTCCGTCGTCATGCCAAGCCCATCCAGCACAGTCATGTGCCACGAAACGCACAAAGCAGCAAGCTCAGGGCGGCTTGGCATACCCATCGTCAGGGAGTCCATAAGGTGCGGCGTGGCAGTCTGCAGTGCCAAGCGCACACGTGGCTCGACAAACTTCAGCCAGCCAATCTCCGACATGAAGCCTTGCCAATCTGCGCGGACCTTCACGCAAGGCCGGGAGAAAACTGGCCCATCGCACATTCGCAGAGTCGGCGTGCTGGAACGGAATGCCGGCAGCAAGTCAACTTCCCAAACTTGGCCCAAGAGCTGGCTGGGCTGCTCAGCTTCCCTCAACTCCATATCTAGCCAGGTGCAGAAGGGAAGGAAGAACTCGCAAGGATCTTCCCATTGTGCAGCTCCACCCACGAGACCATTTGGCCATGACGACCCGCGATACCTTAGCACCTGCACCCAATGCTTAACTGAAAGCACTTCCAGAACTCCAGTGCCCACCGTGGCAACCGTGCTCGATGAAGCAAAGCTTCGGCCGCAACTGAGCTGCAAGAGCTTGGCAGGGATCAAGTGCGACGCTGCCAGGCGCGCCGGGTGCTGTGGCCGTTCCAAACAATCGGTGGGCTTAGCAACAAGACCCTGCTCTGTGCGAATGCAGGCTACTTGCACCAAGGATTCCACAAGCTTCGTACGAACATGTTGCCATATGGGTCTAGGAGCCACCTCACTGCCCACATATTTCATGGCATGGCAGCTAACACTACGCCCCGGCCCTGCGAAAAAGTCTGCGAATGCTCGCGGGATCGCTTGGCAGAGGAGCTGGTTCACAGGACTACCTCTGCAAACTGGCATACAGGCACACAAACCAACTGACAACAGAATCAAAGAAAAGCAGTGAGCCAAATTTTGCTGCTAGACCACTGCCGGGAGGCCTTCATGAAGGTCTGCCCTGCTGGCTACCAGGTCGAAGGGCGCGTCAATGGCAAAGTGGAAGCCGACAGAGCGGACCGGCAACCCAACATGCACAGCCATGCGCTCCGCGCTCTGTGTCTCTGCGCTAGGGAAGGCTAACCTCAAGGTAAGCGAGCGGCCTTCAACGCCTTCCACCTCGAACGGATGAAGCATGTACTGGAAGATCTCAGCCTCATCCTGGCTTTCCTCTGACCTGCCCCCAGCTGAGGACAAGGCAACACGGACGAATGTCCCAAGCTCCTCGCTGTCGCATTGCTGCAGGTAAGCCGTCTTCCCACACGGATACCCTAGTCGAACGTGGCGAAGCTTCTTCAGAAACAAAAGCGTCACATTATGCTGACACAGCCGATCGAATGCCTCCACAATTCCGTTGGAGCCTCCGCGAAGCGGCAGATAAATTACGGTCCCACCGTTCCGGTGTGCATCTTGCACAGGCTGCGGCAATTTCTCCAGCTCGGCGTCTGTCAGCCAGGTCGGAGTTACATATGCCAGCTTGCCCAAAGGCCCGTCAACATCAAACTTGAACGTAAAGTCTCCAGAAAGCACGTGCGGGCACTGTGAGACCGTGAACGTGCTCTTCCAGCCGATACCCTTCTTTCCAATGCATCCAGCCCTTACTCGCATTACACAAAGTAAACTTCTTGCTCCACCCAAAACAACCTGTAACGCAAAGTCAATGCACAAAGGACGTCCCTGTAAGCTACATGCCCAAACCCTTCGCCAAGTCACGATTTAGAGCTGGCATTAATGTCGCACATGGCAAGAACATCACTCTCCCGCAAACCGAGCTCGTTGTTGGTGGTCATGAAATACCTCGTAACTTGAAGGCTGTGTTGGCGCTTCTGTGAAAAGGTAAGCTTTGGTTCCACACTTGACACTTGCAGAACATCAAAGATAATTACTATAGCAGCTGTCATTTTCTTTTCCATTATCCATATAAACCCCCAATTTACTATAGTAGTTTCCACCCTATATATTCCCATAAAAAAAAAAAAAAAAAAAAAAAAATCCCAGGACAGTTCAAAGGGCGAGCCAATGTCTGCGGTCTGCAACGACATCGACAGCTCAGGTTGCGCATCCTCTGCGTACTTGTTGTCGTCAGCGTTTTGGACAAGTTCAAACCTAAGCGGACTGTGGTTTAATCGGGGTATTATTGGGGTTACATTAGGGCTATACTGGGATTAGATCAGGGTTATATTAGGGTTATAGTAGGGCTATATTGAACACACTTCGCCAGACACTCCGTCGGAAGGGTCAAGTACAGAAACAACACAAGTAGGACAATCTAGCTTTCCAGCAAGACACACAAAGTGGCCCTCCAGTTCGTACAAGTCCTGCGCTAACCGGTCTACGGCAGCCGCCAAAGCCACCTTCCAATGAGCAGGCCACTGTTGAAAATGGGTTGCCAGCTACTTGCGAGCAGGAGCCCACATCCGCCTGAGTTTTCTGGGCCGACGTTTGCAGAGCACCCAGAGATGTCTCGGAGGCCTGCTCATGACTCAATATTTAGGAGGTCACTAGCTCTTCTAAAACTGTTCCATTGCCATGCCCTATGCCTTCCTTGCCCACTCGCATCAAGAAGTAAGACATCAGTCAGATGCTTCGCGGTGTCAGCAGGCAGAAAAAAACTTGTGCTTTGCGAGCCTCTGCTAAACGCCGCTGCCGAAGGCGGGACACTATGGCTCGTGCCCTTGCGCGGCCCTTGGCAGGGGCTACGTCAGATGAACTCACTACGAAACTACAAGAAGCACGAAGACAGTTCCAAACCTCATCTCCTCAACGTTTGCTACAAGGCACCGTCTCTTGCGATCCATCCGGCATCTTGTCCTGGCAGGAGTGAAGGCTGGGGATGTGCCGGGACGAACTTCACCCTGCAGTCCAGAGGCCTGCGCTTCCTGCGACACTTCGGGGGCAACTGCCTGAAGAGGAACAAGCAACAAATGAGCAGTGTGCAGCAAGTCAAGTCTTCCCTACCCAACTTAATTCAATTTCTTGGTCATTATAATCCGAGCCGAACACAAATCGAGGCATGCTGTGCAACTGGCAGGCATCGTTTGCTTGCGCGCTGGGGGTTGAAGAGGTCACCGGTGGCGGCAGCGCCTTGAGCACCAAAAGTAGCTTGACCGTTCTTTGGAAGCCAAAGCAAGAAAAAGAAGCTCTGCTGGTTTTTTTCATTTTCATCAAGCTGCGGTCGCTCGCCCCAACTCCAACTCCAACAAGCCTAGCCGCTTCTCGTAGCCGGACTTTCCTTGAAAAATGCATCCGAGCAGCACCTGCAAGAACGCTAGTTGGCTCTCATCATTTGCAGTCAGGCGTCGGTCTGCCCATTTGCTGCCACTTTGTCTCAGGAGCTGTTCGAAGCGATCCATGCGCTCTTCGAAGGACATGCCTGGCTGGGACGATCAGACATTGCTGAACAAGGGAGCCTATTGCCTGTATCGGGTAGGAAATAGCTTAGGAAAGGCACGAAAAAAAACTTAGGATTGTCATGGTTTGGGGGTTGCCTGATACAGCATTCGATGACTGTGTGGCAGCATTCAGCCTTTTTGAAAGCTTCATCTTGAAGGTTGAGAAATCGCAAAAACGTCCCCTAAGTGAGTGGTGGCGGTCCTGACCAGGACTTTAATTGCCGAAACCTCACTCTCCTGGAAGTTGAATCGTCGGGTTTCCCTACTGCAACTTCGAACCCATTGCAGCATGAACGAATCAAGATTTGGTGCTGGGATTCGATCAAAACGATCTTTAGACGCCGATCAGTACCCCCAAACCCTAAAAACCCCGAACCCCAAACAAAGTCACCTACTTGAGTGGCGAGCCGAGGCCAACGAAAGCTAGCCAGGCTCTATCCAGCACTGGAGTAGGGTAGAAGAGGAGGGAAAGTACGTGCCAGCAAAAAGCACAAGCCTCGTGAAGGGGCCTCAAAAACCCTTCGCAGAACCTCGCCAACGCGACTCCAGTGCCCACTTCGCTTTGCACTTCACTTGGCAACCCACTTTCCTTTCCGGCCCTCTCCTCCCTACTTTCCCCATTCACCCAGTCTTTGCTCCACGTTCCACTCCACTGTCCAGTCTAAGTCTGACTTTACTCTGGACCGCACTCTGACTCCAGAGACCACTCCAGTTTCCACTCCACTCTTATTCACTTTCTGCATCACTAACCGTTCCACTCTGCAATGCACTCTCCAATCCACTCTCCAGCCTATACTCCACCCTCCACTGCTTTTCCACGTCAGTCTCCACCACTTTCCATCGCACCTTCCTCCATTCCCGCAATAGCGCAAGTAGCATAGTCCCGGCATTCTTTGCCAACGTCCAAAAGCCAGGACAGGCACAAGGATGGCGATTCTCACTGTCCCATCCCGACCACAGGGTCGCATGCGAGGAAAACACGACCAGGTACGAGCGTGGCAAACTGAAGGCGCCCTTGCCTGCTACAGTGAACATGTCTTAGATGAGGTGAAGACACGAGGCTCAAAAAGTGCTGACAATTGTCTCCAAAAAAAATAAATTTGCCAAGATGGCTACCCCAAGGTGCAGCATCCCTATGAGTGTTGGCACTCATGAACTTTTCACAGGCCACAAAGCAGCAACGCTTCCCCGCCCCGCCCGGCCCCATGCCCCGTGACTAGACGCAGGAACGACGTTCCAAAAGCGACAAAAACTATACGAGGACGGTGACGGCGCGAATGCTTGGAGACGTTTGCGAACACTTGTGGACGCGTTGAGGACACTTTGCGGACGCTTGCAGACACGTGCGCAACGAGTTTGCTCGGCCATGGATTCCCAGATCACAACATTGAAAACAGGACCCCTTCCGCAGAGCACTCAGCAATAGGAAGCTTGCATGGAACAACTAAGCAAGATGGTACTTGTAGCATGACCACACAACGTCGGGAACACTATGAAAGGGGAAGAGAGGTTTGATTCAACCACTAAGGGTGAACTTACCCGCGCTCTGGCCCAAAAAGGGGTCATAAAGAGAAACAAGATTGGAGGATGGCACACGTACAAAGAGCACGCAGGAACAAACACCAAAAGAGGAGAAGGCGACATGCAACGACCAGGCATGACGTGCTAGGTATCATGACCCTTCAAGGGCATGCACTTTCAAAGACGGAGTAGAGAGCGTCAGTACAACCATCGAGCTTAATGCCATTCATACCATGCTCATGCAGGGGCAGGTCTAGCGCACTGTAATGACAAAACAAGAAATGGCTTGTTTCAAGAGCAGGCAAAGGTCGCGAACACAACAGAAGGAGGGAAAGGTGCAATGCAACAACCCGGCATGATGATGCTTGCCAGGTAGTGATCACTACAGAGGGGCCAGGAAGGTGACGCAAGGACCAGCACGGTTCATGTGCATCATAACTTTGCAAGGGTAGTGGACACAAAGGGGAGCAAAACCTTTAAAACCACCAGCATCGTGTTATCCGTATTGTGAACTTGCTGGGGTATTGCAAACGATAGAACAAGTAGGGAGCTTTGACGCGACTACCAGCAGTGACTACCACACACGGATCATGACCATACAACCGTCGTGAAATGTGGGAGTTCGGGAATAGAAAACTAAACTGCTTAACAACCGGAGGACCACAACCACTTATGGAAATGCAAAACGCATTAACAGGTGAAGCAAAGGTAGGAAGGACAGAAGTGGAAAGTAGGACCAGGAGCAGACCCCAGTATGTCATATTTCTGAACAGTATGTAGGTGGGACAATGCAAGCACCTCTTTACGCCAGGAACTCATTTTTGGACGCCGACAAGAGCATATTATTTAGATGCGGATACATCAGAGAGCATATGCTAGCAAATCATTGAACATCATTCCTTTTCATGAAATCAATTTCAGTCTTCAATCAAATGAAGAAGCAGACCCTACAACAGCAACCATAGCAGCACAAATCAAGCGAGCTAGGCTTGAGTTTATTCTTGCCTTAGCAGCGGTAGCCTTCAAGCTCTGGAAAACGACGTAATAATCTTGAATGCAACCTTTCAGTTCAAATCCAGTGCCCGCCCGCGTTGAGAACCCTTGCCCCGAAATCTGCTTTAATTATCAACATTTGGCAGCCAGCCTGCCAGTAAGCACCTAGAGAAAGGTTCCTGCATGGCAGGATTAGTCTTCACAGCCTGCACATGCGGGCTGATGCATGCTGCAATTTTCAAAAAGGATGCTTATCAGCCACCATAATGGCGGCATTGTCCTTGCAGTGATAGCATGTCTTGGGCAAACAGACCAGCATTGACCAGCAGGGATTGCAGCTACTTGGAGGCACTATCCCGTATTGTGACTGCTGACAGAATGGTTGGTGGACCCTCAACCGATTTCGAGCTTCGGCAAGGAAAACTCGTATGGACAAGTCTGACCTTGTTCGTTTTTCGAAGTGGCGCCTCATGTGGTCAGGTTGTTGTTGAGCAGGACTGGGCAGATCAGATCTGCGGACGCTTGCAGACTTGAGGCTTTTGGTTTGCTATCATCAGCCATCAGCTAGCCCGCTTCATGAGGACCTCGGGGCGCAGCGGTGCTAGCAGGAAGAATGGCAGGCGCCCGCGAGGCACAAACAGCATCGTGCAGAATCATGCGTGTAATGCTTATAGTCATTATAGTCTAGAAGGCTCTGAAAATTCTGCATCCACAGATGCCTGACAAAGCCCTGCCCTCCCATAGTAAATGGCCTTCGCAGCTCTGGCGGGACCAAGAGCGCGAAGTTGCAGTGGCTCGCAGAAGTCGCAGCTGCACAAGCGGAACGAGCGACGCGCGCGAGACTGCTCGTGCCTCTAAGCGCATGTGCCAGGATAAGAGACAGCTCAGCCAGCTCAGAATCAGAAAGGCAGGAGCTGAAACTGCCTGCCTGCTGCAGGTTCAAGCGGCATTCTGAAAAAGCACAGCCAAACCTGGAAATGCCGAAAGCAATGATTCCAGTTCAGCACACACCCAGAGCATAACGGAAATTCCCCCTCTCCACAGCATTAGTGCCCCTTGGATTGCAGACGTGGAACGATTGCAACACCATGCTTTGCAAGGACTTGGTTGCAACACTGACAGTCGGGGGTTCACCC